CCTGATCTTCATGATATTTCAAAAGTGATCATGAGCAGCCTCAATACAGTGTGCAGCAGCTCTCTCACCACTCATGGATCCACTCCATCAGGGCTCATGGACTTGAGTAGGTCTGTCTAGTTGTTTCAGACCAAATCCTCCTTCCCTAAGAAAGTGTCTTCCTCCCAGCATTCCTTCACCCTGGTCTCCTCAGTCCCTGAGGCCAGTCTTGCCAGTGAAAACTGATGCAAAGGCACTTAGTAACTCTGCCCTCTCATCTTCCCCTCTTACCAGAGTCCCGTCTCCATTTAATAATGAGCTCACATTATCTTTTTCTTTTGTTATTGATGTATTTGAAAATACCCATTTTATTATGCTTGACATCCTTAGCCAAGTTGAAGTCTAGCCAGGCATTGGCCTTTATAGCCTCATTTGTATTGACCCTGACCACTTCCCTATATTCACTCCAGGTGGCCTGACCCTGCTTCCATCTCATGTGTATTTCCTGCTTATACTTGAGTAATAACAGTAGTCTTCATTCATTCATCCACAGAGATCTCTTGCCCCATTGGCCTAATTTCTTTCTCATTGTGACGCATTGTTCCCAAGCCTGGAGTGGGTGACTCTTGAATATCAATCCACCCTTTTGGACCCCTATTCCCTGCAGGGCCTGTTCCCATGAGATTCTTCCAAAAAGATCCCTAATGAGGTTAAAGGTATGTCATAGTTTGACGCAGAAAAATAATTTTTCTGGAAGGAAGAAGTCAATTTGGATATTGACCAACTGAAGGTGGACACACCTCTGAGAACACAGAGGGGTTAAAAGCAGAATTCCCAGGAGAACTCGCTCTCTCTGGTTCCGCTCAGCCGCAGTGCAGCACCCCCCCCGCCCCGCCCGGGCCGGGGGGGGAAGGGAAAGGCCAAGGCCCGAACGAAGGGGGCCCAAGGGTGGAGGGACTGGAACCCCCTGCAGATGGAAGGGTGGAGAAATCTGGGATGTCTCCGTTCCCCCCCAGAGTCTCTCTCAAGATCAGCAGTTCACTGCAGGGAAGGAGAAGAACGAGGGGGGCCGCAAGGTGCCCAGCTGCCTGTGGGAGCCAGAGAATCCAGGCAGAGAGACAGCCAGGGAGTCGGGACTTTTAACCCTTCCTGAGAAATGAAAGCCTTGTGAAATTTTTCTCCTCCTCAGTTTGAAAGAGAGGAAAAGAGACAGCTTAGACCCTAAGATGTTCTAAGAAGAAATTCTAAGTGAGAAGAGATGAGGAGTGGCTTTTTAGCTAGACTTTTGTCCTTATTAGCTACAAACTAAACCAATTTTTCTCCTCCAAGATAAACTATATTTTAAGAAGATGCCAGTAAGCCAAGGACCTGCTTCAGCTGAGAAAAGACAGAAGTAGAGCAAACAAAAAAAAGTTAGGGGGTTTGTAGTGGTGCCCCCTGTCCTCAAAAAAAGAAAAGAAAAGAAAAAATCTCTGCCCTTAGACCCTTGGCCCCAGGGGGAAAATGGGGGGGGGACTGTGGTCCCAAAAAATGAAAAACTGAACTGTTTTTTTTTTTTTTCCCCCTCTTGGCAGGGCATCCTTAAAAAGAAAAATCCTAAAAGCAGTCTGTCCATCCATACATTAGTAGTGAGAGCACTGTGCATAGAAAGAAAAAAAGTCACCATAGCAAACTTTTTCTCCGGGCGGTGCCATGTGTGACATGGAAGCACAGGATGTGGCAGCTGTGTTTATTGGGGGGTCTGTGGCACAGGAGAGGCTCCTGCCTCCCTCAATAGACTGAATATCAATTGTCTAGAAGGTAAAAACCTAATTAAAGTCCAGATTGTGTCTCACTGTTTGTTAGAATTAGGTAGTGAGAAAAAAAATACTTTATAAAGTTTTCATTTTAATCTTTGTATATATATTTTTTTCCCTTTCTTTTTTTTTTCCTTTTATAGTAGTAGCTTAATAAAGTTTTTTCTATTATTAAGCTTAAGCCTACTTTGCTCTGTTCTCAATTACATTTCACAGCATTCAATTAAAAAATTACATTTTCATAGAAACACTAACATTATGCCAGTGTCAAACAATAACAAGGTAGCTCTCCTGAAGTCCATGGTTATAATCTTTTTTGCTGTCCCACTACTTCTTACTTCAATACAGAATTCTACAATCTCATGGTCACTACAGCCAAGGCTGCCTCTCATAAAAGATTTTCTTACACCTTTTAGAGGCAATCTAAATATGTAAATGGTTTTTTATGAGCTCTAACTTACCTCCTAGATCGTTCTATTGAGAATACAGAGGGACAGGAGGTATAACGTCTACTGTGAAGAGCCCATCATTTCATATGAAATGATGAAATTCCTTGAATGCTTCAGAGGTCAGAAATTCCAGAGAGCTATACATACAGTAATGAACTCCTAATGAGTGAATGTAATATATGCTTTAAGTTACTCAATACCATGAGAAGGACACTGAGGAGACAGGAATGGAATTCAGAGCTCTGGCATTGTATTGAACTGTCATAAACAGGAGAACTGTCATAAACAGGAAACCTTTCTTCTTCCTGCAATTCCACTTACTGTGCTCTTCCTATTCTTCAAAGTCAAGACAGGCGCTAGAAGAGAGGTCCTGTTTGAAAAGTTAAAGCAATTTTTATTGTTCTGGTGTGACTCTTCAGCACAGCAGAGATGAACATAATATAGAAGTCCAGTGGAAAAGACAGCATGTTACTATTCAGTCAAAGATTGTGGGTTTCTCCCAGCCTGCTCTTAGCCTATTCCTTGACTCCTGACTGCTCTAGTCAGCCCTCTTCAAGATAAGGCATACTAGCAGGTCTAGGAAGAGCTGAATATAGTTGACTGCTCTTAAAACATTATGAAGAAGAAAATCAGACACTTCAGCAAAATAAAGTACTCCAAAACTATTTAAACTTTGCACTGCCACAATGTCTTCATGCTCTGCTTCGTGACATTCAACACATATGCTCAAGTTTCACTTACTACATCAATACTCATGTTTTAGGAATCACTAAGTAATTAAGAAATGCTTAAGTCACTAAGTCATTAAGCAATGCAGATACAGATAAACTGATTTAGAAAGAGCTAGACTTAAGCAGTACACAGTGAACATAAGGTAGCCTGTTAAAATGTCTCTGTTTAATAGAATATTTATATCAGTTAAATTTTCCTGTTCAAGTCACTGTCTCTTCAACCTTTGTTTCCCTTTTCTTTTTCCTGACACAGCTCCACTTTAGAATTGTGTTTTCTTTTGGCCTATAGTGAAAGGCATTTCATAAACTGACAGAAATAGCAGGAGCAGGTTCTCTCATGGAGAAAGCAGATACATGTTTAAACATGAATTATAGCTACAATGAAATATATGTTTATGAGTAGTATGCTCAGTGAAAATAAATAACCTCAATATATCCTTTTATTAAACAGAAAGAGAGGAGAGAAAATGCTTGGTTTGGCGATCATAAGCTACCAAAGCAAATCTAGCCTACACCTCCTCTGGGTTTTGCCACTTTAAGGGATTCACAAATCTTCCCTTGAAATCTAATTAATTACATCAAAAATTTTTAATCTTGACATGTGCCTACTCCTTCAGAGCCAATTTTTTTTTCCACTGTATTTTGTCAAATGTGTGAAATGACAATGACCTTCAAGACAGGATATCCATGGCTAAAATCTTGTCTCAAGCTAAATCAATGGGAGTTTTCCCAGGACTTCAGAAAGATCATTAGCACATTCCCATCACAAAAAATAGGATATGACAATACCTTTAAGATTTGGATAACTGGAATTTACTTTCTCTATTAGCTAGGCACTTCTCGTCTTTATACTTTTTAAAAGGTTTTTTTTCACTGCCACACTGACTGTTACTAAAATTGTGTTTAAAAATCAATCTGTCACCCAGGAATCCAATAAACCAATAATAAAAATATTGGAGAAAGTTGGCATCCTTTATTTTGTTTCAAGACTTTCTCTAGTGGCACAGAAAATAATTTATGCTATTCTTTGTGTATTATGTATAGTTAGGCTGTATTTAAACTGCATACAGCTAGTAACAGCCAAACTAGCTTCCAGCAGAAAGGTGAGTCATGATGAATACCTCAGGAAAAACAAGAAAGCAAGACGTATTTGGTCCAAAGGTTCTTTAAAAAAAATATGGTGTCTTCTTCTTGAAAACGACTGTCCATGGTGCCATAGAAACTGAAATTCTGAGATGCATTTAAAGCATACTCCCATATCTTCTGGAACAGAAGTATGTTGGGGAGATGATTCATTCAGTCTCCAGAGAGAAGAAAGACACTGTTCACACAGCACTTCTACTCACCAGTTCTTGCAGCAGCAATGGTGTTGGCTTTGAAGGAAGCCAACTGTCCTGCTCTCCCAGCCAGAGGTAAAGAATTGCATTGGTGGCCACTAGAGGGAGGATTAGGAATATAGTAAGTTGTCGGCAAAAGCCACCCATGATGAACCACATGGGACAACCTACAAATCCCCACTGCTGCCCAAGGGCAACAATGCTCAGATACTGCTACGGACTGGCAAGTAAAATCCAATTGTTATCATCTTCTACAGAAGAGCTGCCAGAGTGCATCCTAAACTTTGGTGGCTGGAGGATAGGAGGGCTGACTAGGACTGTGTGAAGCACACCTACAAACAGACAAAGACATGTCTCTTTATTAACAGATGCCTATTTTTCCTTCTCACTTTTAATCTCCTTACTTAAAACTTTTGATGTTCTTTATCAACAAAGCTTCTGGGAAAAACAAACATACCAGCTTCAAGAAAGTCTCAGAAGTATCAGCAGAGAGAGACACTGTGCCAAGATATGCTGTATTTAACAAAAAGATCTGAACATATTAAAGGTACTTGAAAACAAGACAATCCGCTGTGATTAAAATAAATGTTCATTAAGATCTGAGGCACACCTGAAAGAAATGTTTTCAATTAGTCACCTAGATAATTATACAGTGAAGTGTATCTTGCAATTCAGTTTACCCTGTAACCTGACTGTCTGGTGTCTTACCTCCTGCACAAGTGGCAGAACATTCTGACCAAGGCAGATGATTCCATGCAAAGCCAACCTCATTGTCTCCACTGCCAGTGCGAGAGATCGGAACATTGAATTTATATTTTATCCCCAAATTCTGTTCCTGCAGCAGAATCTGTAGTTGAAAACAACTGGTTATACCATTAAAGCAGGCAAGCAGAGGGCAAACACAGTGACATTTATTCTAGGAGTGTGTTACATTCTGCTGAACAGGAAGAAAGTAATAAAGGAAGTCACAGTAGTTCTTTTTAGCTATTCCCCAAAAGAATCTGTACCAGCTTTTAAAACATATACAAAAGAAAAATATTCTTGTTCAAGGTGAGCTTTATCCTTTTTTCTCCCTTATTCCTGACAAAATTTCTTAATTTTGCTAGTTTCCTAAATTTTATAAATTTTGCTAGTTTTCATAAAATTAATGTCTTCATGGAAATTAACTTGAGAGCTGAATAATTATGGGAGGTCAAAGTTGGTAAAGCACATTACTGTAGAAACATGCAGCAGTTCTATCTGAAGTCTTGTGAGGAGTACAGTCCACAGAGTTTTGAAGCCATCTCTCCCCTTGTTAGCACTTCTAGTGATTACAGTACATTACTTCTAGTAATAGTAACACCAACGGACTGTTGCTGAGGCCACTGTTTTCCCCTAATGCAACAGCCAACAGCTTAAGGTGTGATTGGTGGAATCACACCTGTGATTCCTTTAAAAGAATAACAAAACTCCCACTGCAGCCACATCACTGCAGGCAACATAGACAAAAGTGCAATGATCACCATGAGTTTTTGCCTAGCCTCGCTGTTGAACTGCACTTCTACAGATTACCTGTCCAACACTAGCTAGGGTTGACTCAAACCTTTTTCTTTCAATGCTAATAGCACAAAATCAAGTTAGACACAGTAATCTGGCTCACCCTACAGCTACATTTCATGCATTTCTACTTTCTCTTATATTTTGCAGAGGCACATCTGTCTATGTCCACATGGCAAAAGAGCAGAGAACTTCTAGAAAGAAAGTCAGTGACACAGACTGAATGAAAGAAGGCACTATAATTGTGTTGCTATTATTCTGTATGGACTGTCTAGCTTATGCACAACTACAGAAAAAAAAAAAAAGATTATTCAAGTGTTTGAAAATGCTGTCTAAAATATGGATATCCATGCAACAATTACTCTGTACAAAAAATATCCTATCTGGCTCAAGCAATCACTGAACTGCAAATCCGGCAGCTGACTGAATACACTGGGAAAATATCAACTTGTTCTCATATTCCTCCTCAACATAGTAGTGAAACATCAGGTTCACCATTGCCTGTTGTCAGAGCTGGCATCAGGATCCTGGTCATATCTTCTGTTACATTCTCATACTCTATAAAATTTTTTGAGAGCAATGTATGTAACAGTAACATACTTTAACATGGGTCACACCATTTTACTCATTCTGTGGTAAGACTATATATAAATATCACACTTAGGCCAGGCTTAAAACTACAGAAATGTACAGAACTGTCAGGGACTGTGAAGTGTCAGCAGTATGCAGACATACAATACATGGCCCATTCGCAATTTTTTCTGCCATTACTGTGAACCACATTTAAAGAGATGGTTTATTTTCTGTGAGTTTTTCTGGTGCTCTTCTGACTTTATCCCCATTCCATCACAATGTTTGCCAGTCAGTTTTGAAACGTAAGAAATGTGTGTTAAAACAGTCATACAAAGTTCCACCTAAACAAACTGTAAACTGTTAGTAAACTCAACCTATTTTAATTTCACTCATGATATTGCGTTTTCTCAGAAACAAATACATATTATGAATTTCAGAAATATATTTACTATAACTTTACCATGACTATGAGGTTTTCTGAAGTAGGGCCTAGTGCTTCCAAAGACTCTGGTTCATCTGTTGGCCTCTTGTAATGGAAGGCTGTTCCAGCAACATCAAATTTTCTTGGCCAGTCAATAGTCCAGGCACCATTAATATAGTAGTCATCCTCTTCAGATTTTAAAGCTTAAAAAAAAATACAAGCCACCTAAAAATTGGAAGCAGCATTTATAATGGAGAAGCCATTGTAAATTTATCTACTAATCTGTTAGAAGTATGCAAGCTTCAGCTCTATATCACTGTTTTTTCAAGCAACACAAAGCTTTTTCTTTAGCCCTAGTAAAAATATCCCTCAAGTAAATCAACAATTTTGCCTCTGCAATAATCTTCAATGTGCAGATTATTTTGCAGATTTCAACATGCAGATGCTGCATGAAATGAACCAGAATGCCTCATGCAACTTGAACTATTATTCTGATCTACATGAGATACATGCACGTCTGAAACATATAATCAATTATCAACCTCATTTTTACATTAAGAGGCTGGGGCATGGAATAAGTATCACAATGTGCAGAGGAGAAAAAGATAAGGAGCATTGAGTCTGACATATGGTAGCAGTCAGCTGTTTCGTGATCTATGTCCACTAGCTCTTTTTTGCCTTTCTAAAACACAAATACAAGGTATTTTTACTACAAACTGAAATAGTAGCTACCTACTCTGATATTTAAACCTTCTTAATTTACAGCCTTGAAACACAAAAAGACTATAAACAAAACAGAACTTTCTTAGCTAATCAACCATTAGGATGGGTAAGTGCATCTTATTCAGTGATTTGAATTTGATGTTTTATTAATAATATTACATTAAGTTCCTAAATATGAAACTGACATTGTATCTTAAAGTGAATATTCAGTTAATTAAATATTAACTTTTTGATTTAAGGTGAAGTTTACCAAGTTTTACACTATTTATTTATTTATTTATTTATTTATTTATTTAAAATATATCATGTTTTTAAAGGAAAAATGGTGGTTGGAGCCCCATAGTCAAAGAGCATGTCATATTTCATTGAGACAAAGAACTGATTTTACTAGATAAGGGAAACTTCACATCATAATGCTAAGGAGTAAGACAACTTCAGTTATCTAACATTTTACTCTCAACTACATGTGTGTGGACAGTTGGTTTACCTTTAACAGTTAGGGAAAATGCCTCAGTGATGCTTAAGTTGTCTAAAACAGATCAGAGAGCATTCATGTAAGCAGGAGATAGAGAGCTAATATTGTTCTACTGGTGACAATGACATTCAGCAGAAATTAGTAACTATTTCCATTAGCACCATAAGGTCTGAAAACTAACAAACATATGCTATATATGCTTAAAATAATATACATCCAGAAGAAAAGTAGTTAATTTTTACCTGCCTGCCAATGAAAAATACATTTTCATTCTCTAAGTACATTTACCTAATGGCAGTTATGCACAGGTGAAGGCCACAGTTGTGAACAGCAGTGCAATTATTACATTATAATAATTATGCAGTGGCATAATGCTAGTAGCATATGAGCCAGAAAGAACAAGTTCATGTTCATAATCAAATAATTTATGAGGATCTGAAATGCAGGAAGCCCACAGAAAATCAGCATAAGAGGAAAGCCAGGTGTCACCTTGGATCAAGCCATTAAGGGAAGATAACAGCACTACTAAATATGCAGTTTTTTCTGCAGCTTTGAGCACAGACAGTTTTGTTTTTCTGCAGCTTTGAGCACAGACAGGTTCTTTGTTGGAGAAATCACTTAAAATATTGTAGTATTTGTGCAGCTGCAGAAATGGGCTTTTGACCAATTTTGTCACTAGGAGTGATACTGGTGAAAAAGTGATCAGCTGATCAAGGTGAGAGAGGACAGGAGCTAACTTAGCTAATTGAATTGTCTAACTGCACTCCAAACTTGAGGTCATGGATTTCAAAGGAACTCCATCCTAGTTTAAGTAACTCTGGGATGTGTGCTGTGAGTTACTTTGAAAGTCTTAGTTTGAATAAAGGAGTCAGTATGAGAACTACAGAGGAAGAGGGGTTTATTTTTTTGGTATGTTAGAATCATATGTAAAGAATGTCCTTACCAATGTAGTTTTTTGACATTGCCACTTCTCTTATTTCAATGTGCACAGAACCTCTTGGAATTTGAATCACTTCCATATATCCTGTAAGACAAAGATAAATCTTATTTAGGAAGGTAAACTCTCTAAACTTCATACAAAATTTTTTAACTGATAGCAAGAACTTTAGTATTCAGGAATTCCTTTTTTTAAGTGCTAATAAAGTATTTTCAACAGTATCTCAAACAATTTAGAAATGTCTTCAGGGACACAGGATAATTCAAGTGTAAGAGGATTTCAGTCAATCATTTAGTTCAACTTCCTACTGCAAGGAGGCGCAGCTAAGAGATCAGACTGAGTTACTCAGAGCTTTATCCTGCTGAGTCATGAAAAACTCCAAAGATGGCAACTATACAACCTTTCTAAGAAATCTGATCCACTGCTAGACTGTCCTCCTGAGGAACAGCTTTTTCTTCTATTTGGTTAGTCACCTTCCTTCTATCAGTTTATAGCTCCTGTCTTGTCTCCATGCACTCACCAAAGAGCCTGACTGTTTTCTCCATGACCTCCTCATAGTATTGGAGGGCTCATACCAGATCCCCATAAACCAGAGGATTCTGCAGGCTGAGCAAGTCGAGTTCTCTCAACCTCTCCTCACAGAGGGTCAAGTGTTCCAGATACCCATAATCACGTGGTCCCCTACTGGACAGAATTAACTGCAGTGCACCGCTCCATTTCCTGAATTATGGAGTCCAAAATCTGATAACACTAAGACTACAGGATTAGTATTTTTTGAGCTAAGTTTTAAAATAATAGCCTATATATATTTCCTGAATTCTTAATATTATCAACCTCTAAGATTTTTCTGTATTCTTGCTAATCTAAAATTTCATGCATTACTATCAGATTCTACCATATACAGCAAAATAATACATAAAACAATAAAACATAATACAATAAAACATCACTCTTAATATACCACCATATCTAAAAAATAACCAAAAAACTTCACCAACAGAAGTAAGCATTCAATAATTAAACACATTGTTGTATTTGGGATAAATCCAAACTAATACACAAAGCCAGGAAACAACAGGGAAACACAGTCAAAGTGAATGATCAGCAGCAATGCTATGTTGGGAATTGAAGGCAGCACTTGTATTTGCTATAGAGTAATTAGCACTGGTAAATGCTAAAAGCATTATGCAACTGAATGGACATACATGTACATACCTCCTCTGGGCAATGAACCATTGAAGAAACCTTCAATGGCTTCACATGTACTCCCATCTCCTCCACAAACACGGCATCTATCTTCCTTAGCATCAGACCCCAAAATATTATCACAACCTACATGCTGAGAACAGATAAGAACAAATATTTTAATAGGATACCAACAGTCATGCACCATTATTTCTAAAGTTTCTTTCAAGTGTTTCTCTCGAGTTTGAGATATTCAAGTTCTTATTTTTACCTACCCTATTGTTGATAACAAGTACTTTAAGTGGGTATTTACTTGACAATGAAAGAAGATAAAAAAGGAGAAGAATTTGCATTTTGGGTTGTTATTAAATCTTGATTAGTAAGAACCTTGCATTTCTACTGTGACTTCTAGGAAGGGATTTCACAGTGTTTTGCATGTTATATAATTATTATACTTATTAATAAATGATTGATGATGTTGTTATTTGATATTACAACAGCTTCATGCCATCTATAATTTTTTTTAAGGCCAGCATTTGCTGTGTGATCCTTAAACATTTAGACAGCATAAATAGCATTCTAAGGCATTACAGCCTCATAGACCATATAGATCACATGCTGCAGGGGAAACTTGTAATTTGTATAGGTATGAATGTAGACTGTAAATTACTTCACAGTAAGAATAAATGCAGAAACAAGTAGGCTGTAACCAGAATAAAGATTGCAGCTTACCAATATTTTTCCGGCACTCATACAAAGAAGAAGGTAGATACCTAATTATCTAGCTTTGTTTTCAGTCTAGCACTATTATTTTCCATCTTGTAAACAGCTAACACACACATTATAAGAAAAGTTAAAATACCTTCAATAACTGACAAAATATTATTATTTTAACTCTTTACATTTTGACTAACTGATTGACTAAGATGGCAGACACCAAACTTTCTTCACTGTTTATTCTCAACTTGAGATTCTTTTCATTGGTTTACTAAAACATGGCAGAACTTTCATCTCACTGTGTCATTCAATAAACATTCATCTTCAGCCCTCCATTTAGCAAAGCATTTCAGCATTAAGTTAAGCTTTAGTTATGTCAGTTGTTTTGTTGAAATCAAATAATTTTTAGAGTCACCAGTACTTTTCAAATCTCTAGACCTAAATACATAATTAAATGCTTTGCTAAACTGAGGAAGAAGTGGAATGTTAATAACCAAAAAATATGGCACAAATCCCCAGACCTATTGAAATTCTTCTAATGAAGTTCTATGGAACTCTTACAAGATAATCAGATTTTTAGTAAATGGCAAATACTTACATCATTATACATTTTTTCCTAGAACCACAGGGCAATAGTCTTGACTTTCTGTTTCAATTTTATTAACAGCATAATTTTTTGCAACAGGATGAACTAGTTAAACAGATTAATATGTTCACATTTAGTGTTTTTCAGCCAGAGTGATGTTATAACTGAAATAATGGAATAGGCTTTGGAAGAGTGCAAGGAGCCTGTTCATCTCCTGTTGCCATTTCCATCAACTCTTCAATAGGAACCACAAAGCAAGAAAAATTATAAAGTGGCAGATTCTAGTAATGTCTCTGAGAAGTTACTGAAATTCAAATTATTTGTCTATTTTATGCAATACCTTTTTTAACTTTCTGTCTCAGTCTTACACTTTCACTAACAGCTTGACCTGTCAACACTCCCTTTCATATAATATACAAGTGCCTTAACTACATATAGGTAACAGCAGACACAACAAAGAAATCCATAAGTACTTTATAAAACATTTGTAACCTTGCATTCTCCATTGATACAGATATCCAGTGAATCAGCATTGCACTGAGTCCCATCTATTACTGCAGGAGCACGTTCAGTGTAAAAATTATACCCTTCAGCCAAGCAGTTTAATGCACATGGTTTAACCCCACCTGGACAACAAAATCAAATGAAAGGGGAAAAAATTAACAAAAATTTAGTTAAAAATATTATATATAAACAGATCTGCAATTTACAATTTTATCTCTTATCTGTCATATACAAGGTATATATTTTATTTAACTTCCCCTTAATGGTTTCTTGACTTAACTCTTCCCTTTTGCAAAAACAAAGTTGTATGGTATTTCACATAGGAAGATATGACAAGATATGACATAATAGCATAATGATGCTATTATGCTAGTACAATCCTAATGGTTATTTAACAATTTCAAACAATGAGATACCACTTCACTAATTGAACAGGAAAAATAGCAACAGAATGTAGTCCTAGAAGTATATCAAAACCAAGATCAGAAAATTTCAATTGGGAATTCAGTCCTATCAAATTTCACTACAGCTCACACCACATGATCATGACAACCTTTCTTAGGCTTTTAATCTAAAAACCTGTTTGTAAAACTACTTAGGCTGTTAAGCTAAAAATCATTGGTAAATCATTTTATTTAAGTCAATAAAGTATAAAACCCACAAGTTATACCCTCCAGTTTTAGAACAGGAAAAAAGTATTAAATTATGATATTAAAAATACTGCAATTATTAAAGTAGTCTTTAGAGACTTCTATAATGCTTTTACTTCTTCCTAATTTTCCTAATACGTTCATGACTTTAGTAAAGGTGAAATTATTGTGAGATTACTTAACACTAAACTCATTAGTGTATAATAAGAGGCACTTGCAGATCACTTATGGAATATCTAATTCTAGTAGAGATGCAGGTGGAGAACGGCTCCGTATTTTTGAAGTGGAGTCTCTACAATGATGTTGACTCATCTTCAGATCAAAACAAAATCTACTAGAATAAAGAAATTTTGCTCTTCAGTAACACTTGCAGCAACTGACGAAAGTACAAGCTTAAAAATCTTAGCTCACACTATCTTTGTCAAAACATTATATTTACAAACATTACCCTCTGCACAACATTTATATAATTTAGAAATCTTCACATATGATAATGGTTTTGCAACGCTAACCATTACCTCCAGTGTAGGGTTTCCAGTTATAATACTTTCCCCGGAAAGGCATATTGTCAAAATCCGCACATTGCTTCTCTCTAAAATCACGAGCCCCTGGAGGACACGGCTAAAAAAAACCCACAAAATCCTTGAATTATTTCAAATATAAACATGAAAAGAAATGCTTAGAAGCTTATACTGCAAACACAATCATGCAAGTGATTAGCAGGTTTTGTCTTGTGGCTCTGACTCTGAAATTTGCTTTATTTTACAGCTGAAGTGTCCATTTGCAATCTTAGGCTGGCATGAAGTAGCTGAAGTGATTTAAAGAAAGGTAAGTGTTACATAACAGATTCCATAAAACTGGAAAATCAGAATCCTGTCAAACTATGTGTCATAATCAATCCATCAGTTACCTTCTTATAAACACATTAAAAACAGCTGGAAAAAGAATTTGGTTGGAGTTGTAGGTTTAATTATACTGTACGAAGCAGCTGTACTGAGACACATTATTAAGACATCAAGGAAAAAAAAAACATTTGCTACAGAACTATATCACTCTTGCTTACCTGTTGCCTTGACAAAAGCAATTTTTAAGGCTAAGAAAGAGAATAGATAGCATGTCTGGCTCTTACTACCAGCATCCATGAGTCAAGAAATAAAAATTTTCATTTAAATTTTCATTGCTTTGCATTAACAAAACCATGAAGTAACTTTTTTACTTGGCATGAGGGTAGATTTAAGTAAAATTAATCTTGGAAAGAATTACAGGAGAAATAGAATTCTTTGCTATTTATAACATTTTTCATCATCAGTTTCAAAGTAATCTTGAATATACCCTCATGTTATTAAACATTATTGTCAATGTTTAAGTACCAGCTAAAATTGCAAGGTTCATCAGAAAGTATTTAAAACACCAATTAAAATGTTGTTTAGAGTGAATGAGAAAAGGATTTTTTTGACAGACATCAGAGGTGTTAATAACCATAACTACTTTATGAACAAGAAAATAGTAAATTTTATGGCATTTTACTTGTCTTCCTGTATAGCTAAGCCAGTTAACTGCTCCCAGGAATCTGAAATGCATTCAAGTGAAAGGGAATTTTTAATTTTTAATTTTAATTTTCTCTATTACTCTACTACCTCCTTCTAATTAAAAATTCGTTTTTAAATACAATGCATTAGCTGGTAAGAACAGAGTAGTGCAATTACTTTTATTAAAGAATCCTTTGGATGATAACAAGAAGCATTCAAAACAACTATGGAATTTAAAAAAAAAAAATAATTTCAGGGTGTTCTTAATAATAAGCCAAACTAAATTTGCCCCTTTGCATCACATCCTCGAAGCAGTGGAACAATCAGTCTTGACATCTCTCAAAGCTAGAGCCTGAATCTCTTGGGTACTGGTCACTTCACACTCCTTCAGTCCCATTTGTTCAGCTCCTAATCTACACAACTGGTATTTTTATTGCACTGAATTCTCCTTACAAGTTAAGTAATGAAACCATTTATCTAAATAAACCCTTTCTCTTATTCTAGGATAAAATAATGAAATATGAAGATGAGTAAAGAAGGATCAAGATTTTCTTTTTTATACTCAGAAAACATTCTCGCTACCTGGTCTTTGAGATGTAATCTTGCTGCCTAATTTTCCTATCTTTTTTTAGTATCTCACCAATATGTGACAGGAGGTAAAACTAAAGGCTACAGTCTCAAGAAATGCATTCAAAACTGTTCTTGGCAAACCTGGTTGCGTTCTATGACACAGTAACCTTCCCAGTTGCTGCTGGGTGAGAGGTGGACATTGCTTGCCTGGATTTCTCCAAAGCTTTCAGCGTTGCTTCCCACAGCCTCCTTGTGCACAAGCTGATGTGTTATGGCCTGGACAAGGGGTCCGCAGGGTGACCTGGCTGACCCAGGGCAGTGGTCGATCGCTTCTCTTCAAATTGACAGCCTGGCACAAGGGCTGTTCCCAGGGACTGATGCTGGGCCCAGCACTGTTTATTTTTCTGAGTGATCTAGAAGATGGGATCAAGTGTATCCTGGTGCAGTTTTCCAATAATAATATGCTGGTCAAGGAAGCATGTGCTTGTGAAGGGAGAGCCACCCCGCAGAAAGACCTGGATAAGCTGCAGTAGTGGGCTGATGAGAACATTGTGAAGTTCAGCGAGGCCAAGTGTAAGGTTTTGCACCTGGAGAAGCAAAACCTTAGTCCAGGAGTGCAGCAGAGACAGGGATCCACGCAGCTTGGGAGCAGCTCTGTGGAAGGGGCCGGGTGCTCCTGGTGGATCAGCTCCATGGGAGTGCCCAGTGAGCTCCTGCAGCACAGGAAGGGAGCAGCTCCTGCTGGCCCCAACAAGAGCCTCACCAGCAGAGATGAAGTCCTTATCCCACCCACACAGGGCCGGTCAGGCCACACCGGCAATGCCGGGTCCGGCTCTGGCCCCGATGCACAGCACAGCTGGGGACAGGCTGGGGAGGCCCAGAGGAGGGACACAAAGGCTGTCCAGGCTGGGAAGCCTGGCAGTGAGGAATGGCTGAGGGAGCTGCGTTTGTTCAGCCTTGAGAAAGGAAGGCTTGGAGGAGGCCTTCCCATGTTACAGTATTTGAAGGGTGGCTACAGAGAAGATGGAGAGTCTCTCTTTAGCAAGAAGTCACATAGAGGAGATGTAATTTGTATAAGTAATTCCTGGGCAGATTCTGATTGAATACAGAAGAGAAACTTTTCTCAATGAAAACAACTGGCCATTGGAATAATTTCCTCAGAAGAGTGGTAATTTCACAACCAGTGGGTATTTTTAAGATTTGGCTGGATAAAGTGCTAGGCCATCTTGTCCAGACTATGTTTTTGCAGATAAATGTTGGACCAGATAGCCCTTGATGTTTCTTCCAACCTAAGACTCTATGAAAATCCTAGCCACAGAAATGCAAAAAGATTTCCACCAGGTAAGCCACAAAATGCATTTACAAAATGAGACCTCTTTGGCACTATCTCTTTGTGTATGCGTTCTTTCTCGAATATAAACATGCAATAACTGCTTTTCTTTATTGGGTAAGGTATTTCACTTTTTTTCATGCAATTATAATACATGGATAACACAAGCTAAAGACTGCATATCATGAGGTAGGAATCCAGCAAGCATATGAGAACTTAAAATCATGCCTAAATAAAGTCCTGAGAAGAAGAAGTTTTGAGTTTAAAAAGTGCTAACAAATTACTAAACCTACACTAACACAATACCTGTTCATCTTGGAGTTTGGGCTCTGGTAGATTTCAAAACTTGTTATTTCCTATTAACAAAGGTCTATACAACCCCTCAGAGAAGATTAGAACCAAGCCAGAAGAAAGACAGTTCAAATTCAGGTACTGCTACAATATGTGGCTTCTTACATCAATTAATTTCAGAAAAAAAAATTGCTTGAAAATATTAAAATAATGAAAGAAACAAAATATATCTGTGAATGTATGCATAATGAAAGGAACACACCCTCCCCAAAAGAAACCAACATTCTGTCAAGAGAAGGGACTTAAAAAAAATAATCTTTTAAAAGTATGTATACACACCTATATATATAAGACATTTTCAGAAGCAAACCATATTTTTCATCATATATTAATAAAATTACACTTTTACAGTTTTAGATATATGTCAAATTAAGATTTGCATCCTTGTAAATATTTTAAATCAATTAGTTACTATAAATGAGAAATTATGTTTCTTGCAATTCTACTAGAATTTTGTACTTCCTTTAAAATTAAAAATACTTTGGCTGGAAAAAAGACATATTTTTTGTTAGAGATAATGTGGTTGGTGGTAAAAAACAATTTTCTGATGAGCATGTTCTTTCTACCACCCTTATGTTTCCAGAACTTATTAGCTAATGTTATTTTCTGCTGATCTCAATGTTTCCATTAGCAGATGCCTTTTGAATTAAGAAGTCATATATGGTTTTGGAAGTGCTTGATGAGAAATAAGTCTAGTAGGAGTGCGTGCACTGTTTCCAAAGGATTAAAATGGTAAAAAAAAGACAAGAGAACTAGTCTGCAAGAAAACTGAAGTCAAAATAAGGGGGTTTTTGGATTCTGAATGGTAGGCATTTTAGGCAGGGTTATGTTGAAAGTTACAGATGGGCAATAAATGTTGACACTGCAAAAGAAGCTTCAACAGAAAAAAATGTACAAAGAGCACATTATTCATAAAAACAACAACACATTTTCATGCTTCCATGCTCACTTACATTAATCAACATACCATTCCATTAAAACTATCAAAGACTAGCTATCAAGCACTAAGGACTAACACATATTTTGAAACAAAACCTACTAGTGTCTCTGATTCTTAGTGACATAGAATCCTAAATATTCCTATAAAAGAAATTAACTAGAATTATCAAAACCATTAAGACTGTAAATTTAGACTTCTTAAGGTACCAAGATGTTCACACACTGGAAAACCATACCATAAAACATGAAAAAAATGGATCACAAACTCTAAGAATGGCATTTCCAAACTGCCTGGCTTGAGTTTGCAAACGATTGTATATCAGACCTAGGCAATGAAATGAAAAATTCTCTTTCTAATACCTTGTTGAATTACAGACTGAAATATGAGAATAGGTAGGAAAAGAGTATTTCAGAATAGAGTGCTGTAATTTAAAAATATTTCAATAGATGGTTGCAGTGGTTTGAATGGATGCAAATGACTACACTCAGGTATGAACAATTGGCTGTGAACGCACAGCTGGGGTGACCTCCTAAACAGCACTTTTAAGAAAGTGTTTTGGGCACAATGAATCAACTCGCTACTAAATGAACGTTGTCATTAAAATAAACAAAATACTAAAATGAATGAACAGAATCCCATAATTAAGGTGACAAATTAAGTTTGAAATTAGAGTTATCTCTGACAAGCCTCAGCTAGTGCAGTGGTTTGTGCACCATGCTTCAAGGTGCGTGCTGCTGGGATCCAATGGTTACCAACACAGAGATGGTCTGGTGTAAAGAAAACTAAGAACAGACATGATAGTGATCTGCACACACAGGAAAGGTTCCAATCTAGGGAATAATAGCAGTTATCTTCTTACTGGAGATAGGGGATAAGTAGGAACCTTAAAGGATTGAAAAACACACATTATATTTTATGAAAACTGTACTGACTGTAAGGATATTGAAAAATCTTAATGTTATTTTCTGGACTAGAAGTATTTCAAAGCAGGTCAGGTGCCTAACCATCAGTTAAGAAAGGTGTATTGAGAATTATTTTGTCTTTGTGCCAGGGAATAACCTGAATGGCCTCCTCAGAGACCTTCAGTATGTTTCTCCCTCCTCTGACTCTGTAAAGTTCTTCTCTGTAAAAAATAAATAATGAATAGGGGAAGAAAAAACAACTGAGAATAAAACTGTCTGAAAAGTGACAATTAGAAATTTAATATAATAAAATAAACCAAATCATAACAACATTTCTGTGTTGTGTCTAGGTAGATATGGCATCACTCTTAATAATAAAAAAAGCATTTTAAATGGTATATTTGTGAAGGAATGGGATTATATATTATGTAAATATTTTTATATACTAGTTACTGTGGCATATTGGAGACAAATACAACATTTGAAATAATAATGCCTAGACAAATTGTTCACAAGAATCCTCAGAGTTGAAGGAAGAGGGCTACTGTGTGCCGTGTTTTTTAAGAAATCTTAGACTGTGTACAAACTGAAACAGTGATAATGTAGGAAGATCATTATTTGAAAAGGATTAATAAAATAGTCTAGATTAAAATTTCCCTCATATCAATCCCAAATAAACAGATCAGTTGGGAGATACTTGACTGATACAGGTTTAAAAGAAAGACAAATAATACAAATCAGTATTTTTGCATAAGTTTTATCAATGAAAACTTGGTAAAACTTTTTAATTCTTTAAAGTTTTAATGAATTATTTAATTTAACCAGTACAATTCCTGTTTAAATTAAAAGGATAATGAAACATGCCTACATTTTGGTAAATCACTTAGCTTAGTAGTAGATGGCATAATGAAAGATGTTGTAATAGTTCAATAAAGCATATGTGAAATTTACTAAATACTGACTGATAGGTTTCAGTATGCAGTCATGTGGTTGCCTAATTTGAAAGCAGATTTCCTATCAGCTGTAAGGATTAGAAAGACACCTGATGTAACTCAATGTTTTCATTTGTGAACTACAACTACAAAAATATTTCTTGTTTATGAAATACTCCAATTATAAAAAAACCATCTGAGTGAAAGTAAAGAGAAAGGTAAATTATTTGCCGAGTATCATTTGATAAACCAGATCCATTAAAATTAACATTGTACCAAGACAGAGAAATGTAAATATATACATCTACAGAAAATAAAAAACAAAACCCCACAGTCAAGGATCTAGAATGGTGCACTGGATTTTGGAGGTCAGACAACTGGAGAAGTTTTACAGCTCCTACAGGAGAGCATCTAAAGTTCAGTTTTTCTTACTACACTGTGGCCACTTCTTGTGAGAACAGGGCAGCTGTGATCAATAATAAGAAAGTAATTTTTAATTAGGAAATTTTTAATACTGCCTAATAATGAGAATAAACGGCACAGAGAAATTTGCAGGGACAGAAATTACAATAATTAATAATGATCATAAATGTAAATTTTTCCAAAGAATTAGTATACAAACAATTATAATTTCCTGAATATATCAAAAAATTAAGAGGTGAAATAATATCTTAGCTAATGATTCTCTCTGTGTTACAAAATTCCTTGATTTAAGACGAAATTTAATATGAATTTAAAGCTAAAATAGTAGAGAGTCTTTTTATATTTGCAGTGCTACTGACCTGTAATTTGACTTGGAAACATATTAGTGAAATTCCTTATAATGTGTATTTTTTCTGGTTTGAATTTTAAGTTACTTGAATTTGTAATTTAGGTTCATAATTTGACCTCATACATTTATACTGTGTTCCACCCCTTCAGGATCCCTGTCCAGTGGGCTCAACTGTAAAATGTAACTGCAGGATCATTCTGGTAATACAGTAACTAACAAATACCTGGTGGCAAAACAGCAGGTTTTGAATACATTTGCATACAGCCTGTAAAAGGATAGTGTAACACATTAGCACTGAATGTTACAAAGGTATAAAAAGTGTAAGAGGGCTTAAAAGTAGGTTCATGGAGAATACTTGTGGCAGTTGATGTGGTACAGATACAACATGAGTTCCAGCAAACTTTAGCAACACAGCTTTTGGAAACCCACATGGTAAACCAATAGAAAAGTCATCCTTTGCCTTTTTCATCCATCCTTTGTCAAAAGTATGTAATTTATTCCCTAAAAACCTGTTATAGGCCACTGCTGGAAGGTAAGACAGTGGGCTGGACAGATTTTTGCTCGATGTGGAATGATCCTTGTTCAGATTTACCACAGAAGCTCAAGTTGAACTGACTCCAGGCCGTAATGCAACGGCACTAGCTAGACACCACATCAAGATAGGATCCTAACGTTTACCAGAACACACAGGGTGCCTGCAATATACATGTGTCTTATGGAACTGTTTGCCAATTAAGCACAGAAACTATACGCTTTCTGAACTGGAGAAAAAGTGCACCCATTGCTGGTAAGTCATAAAACAGTCAAGTTGATCACAGTAGAATAAAAATTACTTACATCAGTATTACAGGAGCGATAACGCTTCCTTTCTCCAAGACAATATTTGCCTCCACCTGACGGCCTGGAAAAACATGTTTACATGTTAGGATATGGCCTAGAACAAACACAACTGCAGGAAATATACTAATGCATTCTTAATAGTAATACAAATCCAAGAGGTCTATATTACATAAATACAAATAAAAATACATTCAAGTTTTTTAAGATGATATTTTGATAAGAATTTTATCTTTGACTTGCATGGGAGCAGACACAAAATATTACTTGGAACTTTATTGCTGGAGCTTGCACAGGTCCCAAACAGTACAGTTTAATTGCATTTTGAACATAATTGTAAAAAACCCTGTTGATTTTAATTATTTGCTTGGTTTACAAAATTAAAATGAGAAATGTGTAAGCAACCTATATGATACTTATTTTTCAATTATCTCATCTTACTTGAAAATCAAAAGACTGGTTTTATACTTGGGACCAGCAAAGACTGTATATTCTAGTTCAGAAATTTTACTCTGATTTGAATTAATCAGTATTAAATCTGAGGAAAATGGAGCAAGCAGATTTCTACTAGTGTAGATAACTGTCCATTAAATTCCCAAACTGCTCAAGAACACTATCTATTTTCCATAGAGGTTAAATATTGAACTAACTTAGACTTATATGGAAGATTAATGAGACATCAGCTCTTTGGCTTTCAACTTGAAAGCAGAAAGAAAAAAAATATTTTGTGAGGCTTTCATAATAAAAAATTTAAATATTCACAATTTAAAATTAACTAAAAACTTAAATCACTACTATTTTTCATATTACAATATTTATCCTTAATCAATACGGGTTTTTTCCCCCTAATGCAGACATATCCTCTCCCAAATGTAGTTGCCTGTTAAACATTTAAAATTTAATCATTTTCATCATACCAACCCAAATACATGGTGACAGAAGTTGAAAAAAACCTTAGGATATATTCATGCTCTAAACAAATATTTCACTAGGCTTTTTCAAAATACTGCTTTGAAAAAAGTAATTAATTTTTTTATTCTCTCACTAACACAGTCCAACTGTGTTATTGATGCACACAGATAATTTCTGATTTTGTATTTCTGTACTTGTAATTTCTGTATTTGTATTGAGTAAGTAGTAATACAGATTAGGTAGTTATTGCTAAAATAGGGGACAAACAGACCATCTTAATTAGCAGTGATATGGTATTATGGTATCTGTCTTGCAAAGTGCAGTGGAAAGCTGATGGACAGCCTGGCTTGGAAAACACGGATATAAGAAACAAATAACCTAAGTGAATAGAGGGCAAAAGACAAGAAAAGGAGTGACAAAAGACAAAGAATGAATTTTCATGAAAGAAACACAAATAACTTTCAGAAAAAGTAGACTTAAATACCAGTAGTGGCCATGGAGATAGTGATTATGAGAAATGACAAGAAGAGAACATGGAGAAATAGAACTATCCTGCAAAGGCCTAGAGCTGTGGTGAGGTAATCAGAACAGGTAAAAGCCAAAACAGAAAAGAGCAGTGATTCATTCAGCAAAGAACAGCAATAGAAAGAGAAGAGATAGTAACAGAGAGAGAAGCACTTACCTGACACAAGTCTGGAACCAGTGCTCAGGATATGGGAAAACAGACAGATTGTAAGAGAAGTACAGATAGACAGACATAGACATAGACATAGACTAGACATAGACATAGACATAGACATAGACATAGACATTAGACATAGACATAGACATAGACATAGACATAGACATAGACATAGACATAGACATAGACATAGACATAGACATAGAGATGATAGAGATAGAGAGATAAAACAGATCAAGCTGTAGTGGAGAAGCTGGCCATTCTTCAGACAGGGCAAACACACCAATAGAGAGTAGTGGCAGGGAAAAAAATTACTGAATTGTTTTACGAGTCAGTAGGAAGTCACATCTGAAGTGCTGAACAAGGCAGCACATAAATATATTATATGCAATATAATATTACTACCTATGGTTTGTATGTAAGCAGTTATATTGAAAACCTTGGAAATACTGTGTTGGGTTTGGGGTTTATTTTTTAATAAGTATCTGGCAATTCTTATTTTATATCTGAGACAAGCATTAAAGGAAATACGCCCTAAGAAAGAAACCTCTGTAAAGCATAATTTAAATATATTTTGATGAACAACAAGTCACATAAAGAAAATTATTGTGGTTACCACTAACTATAAATCCAGCTATCTTTACAGTACATAAGATACATTAAAAATGTTAGAAGCATGTCTAGTGAACTCCTGTTTAAGCATTTCTGTCTGCTATTTGAAGACAAATGTTGGCAAACTAGCAAAACATTTTTACAGATAACAAGTGAAACCACAGTTTTGAATAATTTCCAAATGTGTCTTTTTGTTGGCTCCGGCTTACTTTAGCTACTTACGCTGGACTGTCACAGTGTCTTATAGATGAGGAGACTCCTCCCCCGCAGGTCCGGCTGCACTCTCCCCATATTGACCACGGACCCCAACCCCCATCTATGCTCTGGGGCCAAGTGCCAAAAGGTACGCACTCTCCCTGATAACACCACTGAAAGATTTCACAAAAGAAACACAAAATTAGCTTGGAGGCTGACAGACTTATCAAGACAGAAAAATATAAGGGTCAGACAATGACCAATTATAGACATTAGCATTCCCTGTATAGATAACAAGACTAGTATTTTACTTTTTCTAGCCATGTTTAGACATTGGTGAGGGTGTGTGTGATTTGTTAAATGTCTCCACTCAGTCCTGAATTATAGGCCCCTAACACACACCAGAAGTATTTTTTATTTCATCAGCCTCCTTAATGTTTCACAATTAAGGAACTACAAGTTGCTTACATTCTTATAAACACTAAGATTCATTTCCAAGCCCAGTTTGGTAAAAGACCCTCTACTGAAGACTCACATAGAGGCTTCACTACAGAAAATGAAAAATTCCCCCAATAATATTTTTAAGAAAGTATTTATTTTTATAAAAGAAAATCTGGAGGACATTACAATGAAGGAAGAATTTTTTGCAGTATTTCATTCACTAACACTACAGACATAACAAAAGTAGTGCCAAAGCATTAGACATGGTACAGAAAATCATTTTATAATAGTGACCAGCCACTTGTTTGGTGCAGAATGAACATGTGTACTTCATTCAGGCAAACATTGAAACTTTTCAATATTATTACTTAAATCAGAAATACAAAATGACAGATAAATTGCCCAAATTATTAACTATTAAAACAAGTTTATAATTTAGTTCATCAGAGACCTTTTCTAAACCATTCAGAAATAATCCTGGAGCCCATATTTTGATCACATTCTAGTGTCTACCATATCACTGAGAATTTGAAGTAGCTGAATTAGATACCCCTTCCTACTACTACAGGCTTAGGTGACAGAGCAGAGCATGAACTCAGCTCTATCATGAACTGAATCTGCACATTTCCCTTCCAAAAGCTGAGCAAGTGCTGTTTTTAAACTCCCTAGAATTTCTGTAATATAGACCCTTTCCAACAAAAAACCAAAGACAACTTCTGCGTCTACCCCTCATCCTCACAATGTTTTGCAATGCCTCTCATGACACAATAAGATGGAGCCAGATAAAGTGAGCTAGAAGAGTGCCTAAAATAGTATGTTTTTCTTCTCTTTACTGTGATAAATTGATAGAAATTTTATTATTAAATATCAAAATCTCCTTGATACAATGTATTAGAGATGCCACAAAAGTACATGAACAGATATTTAAAGCTAAAGTCAAAACATAAAAATTAAAATACCTCTAAGATTAAAAATGTAAGCAACCAACTTAATTTAAATTACACTACATACATTACAAACATACCAAGATTCAAGCTAAGAAATGCAGATTTAAACTCATAAGAATATCACAGATATAAAACTGAATAGGTAAACCATTCTAATTCCATACAATTAGAACTATAGAGACAATAGACAGGTACAATTTACCTACTTTATTTTTCCAGAGCTGTGTAAAACCCCTGTCATGCAAACATTGTCTTCCACATTCCCACACTGCCCTGTAAAATCTCTTTAAATGCTGTGTTTTCTCATCTACTGATCTTAAATCTGAGGATTTAATGCTCACCTCTGTGTCTCTTCTTAATATTATAGTAAAAATGTATCTTTCACTAGAAGCCAGTGATGTATAGAATCTCTGTTACAGTAATTAAAAATTACATAAGTCTTCATTACTTCTAATGGGACTGCAGAAATGTGTTTCCTCCAAGAATGACAGCAACTTCATCTGCTATAATCAGGACTATTGAGTAATTACCATATGAAGAAAGAAGAGGAGGTGACAGCTATTTTAAAAGAACAGTTCTTTACAGAAGGTTTAGATCTGAAATACTAATTCTTCTCTAACATTGAAAGAATAATTGTCCATTATTTCAGCAGAAAGATGATAGTGATGCATTTAAATACCCATAAGATATGCAAATCCTCTGTGAATAAAAGGACTCTGAAATTTTTCCAAAAGAAGTAACTAAAGAAAATAAAATATGATACAGTGGCACACAGAGATCACTTTTATGAGTATTAGCTGCTTTACAGAATTAACATTTATAAAAATATGATTTTAGAAAAACCAAACAGCAAGTATTCTTATATAAATAAAAATTTATTTCCTATTTTGTATGAGGAAGAAAAATATTAGTGTAAATTTTGACTACTAATTTTCAATCATTGATTCTACAATTATTTTGCAAGAAAGCATAATGTGCAATAATAACTTACATTTATTTTATGTTAATGTCTAATGGCAAGTCAAATCATCCCACAATGTAGCTAGGTAAACTATCCTTTCAGCACTGTGTTTTCATTTTTTGCATGTTTGCCCCTCTTTTCCATCCCTAGCATGAATGTAATCCATGATCTACCGAAAGAATCACATTTTATATTACTTTAAATTAAACATGACATATAAGTGTCCCTATCAGTTTTGTCTCATTGTCTTAATTTCTTCATAAATGTATTTTTAAAAAATCTATCAGTTAATTTAGCTTCAACCACATCTCTGGGAAGACCAGGGAGAAACTTCATGTTTATTTAAAATTCTTACTACAAATTAGGACAAGTGTACCTTTTTGAACCCAGATGATATGTAAAACCCTCCATCAACTCATTAATATATTAAAGCTTCAAAAGAGAACAGATAACAGTTCCATCAGCAGGACGAAACAATTATATTCTTTTTTCCTGTATGCAGAAAACAGCTGAATAATTCTAATGGAAAACACTCTAGAAACTTTCAGGGGTAAGCAGATATCTACCATGGAAAATTTCAACCCAAAGGGTTAAAAGCTTGGCAAGTTTATAAAAACAACTGAAAGAAGGTTTTATTATAGAAGGTTAGGCTGTTTTAATTGTAGAAATCCCTACACATTCTGCCAATATGATATATTATTATGATACAATAAGATGATACAATATATATATACATTGCATCAAATTATGGTTTGGGGTTTTTGTTACACATAATACATAAGTAAATATCTAAATACAATTAAATACTCTGAGATCTTGTTAGGTATTTAGAGCTGAAAATTAATTTTATTACGTAGCTGCACAAAATACATCAAAATAGGGCTTAACTTGGCTGGGGCCTTTAGGCATGACTGCAGTACAAATGCAGCAGCAGCAATACTAATGCTAATACTAATAAATACTAATACTAATACTCATACTAATACTAATAACAATAACAATAACAACAACAAGAACAACAACAATAACAACAAGGTGTTACAGAGCAGTAACCTATTTATTTCACGTTACTCTTTGGAAAAGGAAACTACATATTTGGAAAGAGCTCATGATTTCTGGTTTATTGCTACCAGGAACTTAATTTACATGAAGCCTTGTGGGTACAGTTTATGGACAGAATTCTCCACTGTTAACAGGCATCCTTGATTAACAGGTTTATCTTTGTAAAACGGTATGGATTCTCTCATTTCCCTATAAAATCTAACGATGGAACAAAGCACTGGTGACTGGAAAAGGATGTTCAGCAGAGCGCAAACTGATTAAAACTTCTTGACAAGGGAATAGATCAACAGTGTCTAAAAGGATCTCAACTTGTAGTCTCATGGTTCAAAAAACATAATTGAGGTAAATTATTCTTTGTCATCAAAAAGGAGGATGGTTCCAAAATAAATCTAGACTGTTGATTTTAGAGTAGGGCTTCTAACATTTTCTATTACTCTAATATAAGGTAACATTTTTGGTACTATGTGAATGCCTCTCTATTTTTATTGGCTAACTCTATTCACTTATTTTTTTAAATGACCAGTTCAATACATTTATTTAACATGGTTTACCAATATTTCCAAACCCAGTATGCAAAAGCCATCAGTGATACCAGATCATGTGCCTTGAATGAAGTCGTCAACACGCATTAATAAACTGTGACAGCTGCCCTAAAGCTTTCATTCTTGCTGTTTAAACATCAGATTGCAAGTCAAAATGCACTGTTATCTTTGTTGAAACCAGCTCAGCTAGTATGACAAAAGTCACAGTGAGAATAGATGTTCAGAGAAAAATCCAATCTGGATCACTGAATCTCATTAACAGATGCAGCCACTGTCAGACAGATACTGGAAATGGTTTAATATAACAAGCTCTTTTCACTTTGTACAAACCTGCATAAAATAGGTTATCTTGAAAAAAGGTATGTAGAATGCATTTTTTCCTCCCCAGTACATATCTTTAAAATAAATTTAATTTTTTTTTCTCCTTTTCAAGATCTGTATAGATTTTGCCTTGTAACTGAGAAACAGTCTTCTAACATTCATGTCTAGAACTACTGATATACAGAGATTGTTTTAAAATCAAAATTTTCATATTCAGATAGCTACTGTATTGTTAAATGTATCTATTGCAACACTGACTTTCTGTACTTTTGTGTTAGGTAGAAGAGTTTATTTAGCTGGACATCAAAATCCACAAAACCAAACAATTATCCAAGCATAAATGAAGAATGAAAAAATAATTCAAAGTCAAAATAGAAAGGTCACTGGGAAATACAGGCTTTTATAAAAAATTTTATGGAGTCATCTTTTTTTCTATATGCTTGTATGATTTGGCACATATCTGAAAAAATATTTTTTTCCCTTCTAACAAAATTCAGGCTCTAGATTTATGTTGCACATTTTCAAAGTTCACGGCAGGCCTAAAGCTGTAACAATCCTTAATGGAAGAGTGGTATAAAATAAAATAAAAATTAACTAAAAGAGTTTTTACAAAAAAATTACTCAAAAAATAGGCAGAAGAAATAGAACATATTTTGGGGGTTTTTTTTGATTCCGGCTCTAGAGTTTCATAGAGAGGATAAATATATTATTAAATTACACATATAAAATAATGGTGAAAAAATTCTGTGGGACGCTTTCCATTACGATGTACACTTATGATAAACTATGTTTTTGTTTGAACTGTTATAATTGCTGTGAAATACTTTGATTTTCTAGTTCTTTCTTCTTGTAGTCTTTGAACAATAAATTCCATCTTCAAACAAATAAATTTTTTGTACTCACCCCCTTTTCAATGCTCCCTGTTTGGCAAAGAGTACCTTCTGCTGCTGGAATGCTGTTGGTAACACAGCGGTTACTTTTGCTGAGGCACCAGAGCTCTCTACACACTTCCTAGGAAAGAAGGCAGAAGCAAGTTGATCAGAATAAAAGCCTAAAATTTCTTCCAGTCCTCATACACACATGTATACACAAATTTGTTTTGAACAGAGACAATTAAGTTGTGGTCTGCAGAGAGAAATCTCAGGATGGCTGTGATGGTAGCAATTTTGAAGCCTCTATATTTGCCTAAGAATATCCTGTCCAAAAAACCTATTCAGGAAGCATCAAAATTATAGAATAATATGTTTTTCACACCTGCCATGAAGTAATATTTTATAATTGCTTTTTTCTTGACTTGTGCTAAGACTGAGCTTAGTATATTTTAGTGTTGTTATAGAAGCAGTCTTCAGATAAGGCTGTTACCAGCCTCAAAATTACCTGCCAAAAAGGATATCAATCATCATGAGATATGAAACAGCAGCAATTATTTTTCTTTCCTGTATGTAAAAAGAAAGTTTTTGAGCTCAGACTAGCCATACTCCTCTTCTGCAACACTTGTTAAAGCAGTGCATTTGTAGTTAGAACTAACTAACCAATGTACTAAAATATGTCCTTTAGACTTTTTAGATTTGCAGCTGCTCTTTCATAAATGATTTATCCTATTCTATTTCCTTATGTTGTCAGTGTTAAACTGAGATTTTCAAATCATCTTTTTTGTTCCTACCATATATTCTCATTTGGTTTTGCCCACTTATTAATTTAGATTAAGCCAGTTCTGCTGATATTGTAGATAAATTGTTAAAACTAGCGAAGGGTTGAAATTCATAATGTGGGCATGATCCAAAATTGGGTGAACACCAGAAATCTTCACAGTTGCTTCAGTTGCCCTTGGATTCAGCTGTGTACACACAAAAGAATGAGGAGATGTTTGCTTTTACAGTAAATTACTTACACAATAATCTTTGTTGTATTACCTTGGGATCTGTGCAAAAGTTCACAACTTCCTTATACATATTCTATATTTTAAAATATTTTTAAAAATTTTGAATATAACAAGACCTTTAATATGATCTTATGATAAACCTTACTGTTAATTTTATTTAACAGCTGCTTGAAATAATATTCTACAAAAAATCCTTGTAGAGGTTCTATAGTGAAACTTGAAAGAAAAAGAAAAAAAGAAAAGACAGTATGAATGAATTAAAGTTATTGTCTACTCCCCTCCAGGTTCATTGTTTCTCCGAGGTAATGAATAACTATCTGACACCTATACATCCTATGTTCTATACACATCAACAGGAAGAACTGTTATGTTATACCTGAGATTCATATTTCTTGCATTGTACTGCATATAAAAATTGATTTATTTACACATTACTCTCTAGCAGCTGCAGCAACAGTTCAACAATAGAATTTTTTCTTGAAAAATATAGAATTATTAATGAGGTTTAAAATCAGTTCGTACAATTCTTGCAGGGATGTCAGCAGGATGTATTTAATTTCATGATCGTCAGAAGAAAGATATCTTTTCTACAGTCCATTAAAAAATATATTATAGGAATGGTTTGAAATTATATGGAAAGAAAACTGGTGATTCCTGGACTTCCCATCCAGTTTTTGTCAATTAGGCCTAAGTTAATTCATCCTATTTAGTGCCTGGCTCTATGAAAACTTAAAATTATTAAGCCTGTTTTGGGAGATATACTGCCTTGTAAAAGTCTACCTGTAGCCAATGCAGAATTTTTCAAATTAGTTTTTTTTTTGTCAGTAAAGAAATGCAAGCAGCATAAATATTTACTTAAAACTCTGAACAAAATTTTTTTCTCACTCAGATGAAAAATCTTCAAATTAAGATACATGTGAATAAATATACTAATTAAAATAAAACAGAGAAGTAACAGAAGATACATCACATAGCTTCTTGAAAAATTTAGCTCAATTACGAATTTGACAGCAACCAACTAAGGTTCAACACTAATTCAAAATTCAACACTAAATTCAACACTAAATCAATTTCACATATAAATCAACCATGAATCCAAACTTCAATACAGTACATTTCACTTCAAAATGAAAACATAAAATTAATTCTTTTCAGACACAGTATGAGGTCCTCCTGTAATAATCCTGCCTTATTTAGTTTAACCTTTAATTTACTTCCTCATTTTGTTGAACAAAATTGGTATAATTTACTTGCTCATTCTTCATGTGTGGTTTATATTGTCAAATAAAAAAGAGTCAGACTGTGGTAATACTACTTGTGACCTTCTATTTATTTTAGATCTGACCAAGTTCAAATGTCTAAGTTAACAGCTGATCTGACTTCATGGAGTTTGCTCCAATGTTCTGAAAAGCAAAACATTCAATTGCATTATGAAAAAAAATATTTCAAATATTCCAGTATGGACAAAAGAAAAAAATAGGTCTGGATAGCAGTCTGGAGTTTTAAAAGGTCTATGTTTCAGGATTATTTGAATCCAGAATTCTGGTTTTTGCTCCGGAGTTTATGTGCAGAATGCCACTTCTGAAATGCCTACATAAGTATTCCTTCTATATATCATGTAAGTCATAATTAACATCTTCACCATAGGTCTCTACAAATGAAAGCATTTGACAACTTCCTTTCAATAGAGTCTTTCTGTATATTCAGACTTCTCTGGTGCATTAAACTTTTCTAATTCACTGATCTAATACCAGCCTGACATTTTAATTCAACAGTGTGAATTAATGAGTACAGCACGCCAAAATTATTTTAGTAATTTGTCTGTTTGTCAGAAGATTACAAGCAGTTCAAGTCACCTCCCTACTTCACAAAATGAGAAAAACATTTATTCTTAAATTGTTCTGAGAAGCAGTACATCAAAACTAGATACTAATACTGACATATTCTGATAATCCTTTTTCAGACTGTAATTTCAGCTAGAATTTACCTCAGTAGATCCCTAAAGACAAAATTATAGTGGTGTAAAATTACTATGGGCTTTATCATACTCTTAATGTGTGAGCAGAAACCTCTACTTAAATCAGAAAGGAGTTCTGTTTGAGACAGATATACAATATCCTAAAATCATCAGAATATTTCCTCAAAGAGAAACTATTCAAAGCACTAAAGATCCACAAAAATAACACAGTGTATCAATTTGTAGATTGTATTTATATTAAACACAAGAAATGAAAGGGTTTTTGTAATATCTTTTAAATATAGCCAAATTTAAAATATTGTTTATTTTTCCCCACTGTACTGCATTTAAAAGAAAACATAGACTCTAAAGTATACTCTCCATCACCCTGTACATGAAACGAAAAATAACATTAATAGTAATTTGAAAACAAATGAGACACCTAAAAAGAAGTAAAAAATCCATCTATCCATCTATGTTGTTATTTCATTAAAATGAAAACGGAATTAGACCAGGTGTTCCTATGGCTATGTCTTCTTTATTTTCAACTGACCTTGGAAAGTTAAACAAAGTTCTGACTAAGGTTCATAAAGTTTTCTCTTCTCCAGCTCAAACCCATGAACCTTACACCTGCTATTACTTTAGTTATTGACTGGAGCTATTTCCTTACTACTACCATTATCTGGAACACCTCTAATCAATAGTTTTTAATAAGCCAGCCTTAAAAACATATGAGAAACTGCCCTGAAAAGTGGCTCGAAATAACTAATAGAAAATATACTGCTTTTTTTTCACACTCACACACACACAGAGGCACACACACCTACCCACACCCACCCACCAGGTGGCCCTTTTAGGGTAGTCTTTTCTTCCTCAGAAAAGGATGAAGCTAATGTATATTTTGCCAACATTATATTTGTTTGAATAATTCAATGAAACTAAGAGAAATAAGTATAATCTGGAAATTAATAAATTACTTCAAATCCAGTCTCCAAAAGTCTGGATTTAGTAACTACTGATTTGTAAAGTAAACAAGGGGAAAATTTAAAAATCCAGGAAACATAAACTGAAGCTGAGGCCTTTCACAAGATCAAGACAAGATAGATGACAACCTGTAACGGTGTATCTTAGGGTTCCATGACTTCAGTTTGGAATTCGGATGCTTGTATTTGCAGTAAATTAAACAAAGCTGAACCCATCTAGAGAAAAAAACACAGCAAATCAAATTACCTTCATTTTGCCTAAGTATTACAAATGATGGAGCCTCTTCTGTTGCATCATGCAGAGTTACATATAGGATTTCAAATTATGTAGCATCTAAGCATCCTGTATCATAATCATCATAAATTGTTACAATACAGCACAATGAAAACTCAGTAATATGAGCAAAGATCAAATTGCTGTGCTGTTCTTATTTTCAAAACTCAGGAAAGCTTTTAACAAATATTAGCAGTTCAGCCCATAAAATTAAATTTTTTTTAAAAAGGATGGAAAATACAGTCACAAGGCATATTATGATAATTTGGGAGGTTCACCTTTTCTTCATAAAAATTTAAAAATCCTAAATAGGTTTGTCTGTAACTTCAGCATGTTTAATTTATAATATGCAGCACCTCTTGAAGAGCATTTGCTAAAAGACAGCATAAAAACAATTAGCTTGAATTGCAATTCAGACCTGAAAATCAACAGAGTATTTTCAGGCTCATTGCTGAAATGAAGATAGCAACTCGACTAAAACTAGAAGACCCTAATTAATAAGGGAACTTCAGAAGATTCAAAGTTTTGTTCAGATAAGCATCCAAAAGTTACCATTTTAGTGCTTCGCTACCAAAAGCTCATTAAGTGGTGCAGCATGTTATAAATCACACACCTAAAGAATGTGAAATAGAATGCGAAACTTAAGTCCCACCTTCGTATTATGTTACCATCATTCTTTCATAAACATTGGGTGCTTCTTGAACCTTAAGGAAACTAAAGGAACCCTACAAGGTCAATCACCTCCAAGTACCATCTTCCCTTTCAAACCCATGCAACCTATCCATCTCTATTCAAACAACACTCCGGTATCTGGAATCTCATCCATTATTGCTTCTATGATCATCCTAATGCACTTCTCCTGTTCTGATCACCAGTTTCTCTTTGCACTTTCTTAACAGCATTCATAAAATGCAGCACATTGGTGTTGACATCTGTGTCTCTTTCTCTAAGACAGAGAAAGAGAAAAACAAAGACAGAAAGGAAGGAAAAAGAGGGGGGTTTGGAGAAGAAAAAAAGGGGACTGCAAGCACTTGTTTGAAAAAGGATGTAGAAATGCTTTAGGTTCCAGAAAGAGGAAAACTTCTGGGACTTCCCTTGGCTATACACATCATAAATTTAGAAAAAAGAAGGAACAAAATTCATGTAATTGCAACACAATCCTGTAAGTCCTTACACAAGTAGAGATTGAAAGTTTAATCATTTGTAATGCTGAAGGCCTGCACAGTAGAGGCGAGAGTTCTTTCAACTTACTAGGAAGCAGAAAAAAAAAAACAGAAAGGTTGATAAAAATGACAGAGTATGATACCAGTATCTTCAATTCCTCTCTTTACTTACACATACTTTTAACATCACTTTGTGAGCAATGCAATGTAGATCCACCTGATGAAACTACATATGCTCAGCTAACAAACAGCAAGCATAGGGGCAAATTAACTATGGTATGATATATGAAGCTGGGGTCAAAAAAAGGCACTTTACACTAAGTTATTATTATGCCCAAATTCAACTAAATGCATGATCCTAGGCATAGTATCAACAGTGAGGGAACAAAAGGAAAACAGTAGCTTTGGTGCAAAGATACAATATTGACTTCTCTGCCTTTCTTTGTGAAATATCATCAGTTTCCAGAATCTGTTTCTGCTTCTATCTTCCTATAAAACCCCTACATCAAGCTCAATACTACTGCTCCTCATTTAACTGAAACAAACCACATCCATATCTCAAGAGAAAAGGGACAGTTTAATTAATGAATGTTAGAATTTGTATCACCTGATTACTAGGGTAAATTGCAATTCAGTCTTCTTGCCCTAGTGGAAATATTTTAGAGATAGAGATATAGAGTACCATATTTAGTCTCCTAAATTCTCCTAAATTCCCAAAATCTCCTGATTAGCACAAAATGCCAGAAAAATATACCAAATAATTGTAAGCTACTATCTCTGAAACCCTGCTGCTAGCAGCCAGCAGCTTCACAGATCATAAAATGCAACACAGCAATACCAACCATATGCATAAAGTATTAACTGCTTTTAAAAGTTTTCTAAAAGCAGTTTTTAAGAGAGAGGTTTTAGCCTCTCTCCTAAAAATGTAGGGACCAGCTCTAAAGTAGAGCATGATTTTGAACCAAAAAATCAGTAAGTTAGGCATTTTTCAGGTATTATCTAAACTCATAAAGCACAGAATTTGAAAGTCAAGACTGAAATTCTTTCCTGAGTTAATCCAGAGACAGCAAACAGCCAACAGCCTTTACTAGGCAGATGCTCAAAGGTTAAGGAGATCAGAAGTCAATGAAACAATTTCCCTTATAATCACCTAAACCAAAAGTCTAAAGGAGATTCTGAACTGTTAGTGGAACAAAAACACAGCAGAGAACTGAGACACATCTGACAATCAGCAGAAGAAAATCCACACTGTATCATCCTAGAAGATGTAGGTTATCCAGCAATTACATAACTGAAGAGGAGCTAGCATTGTTTCTAACCTCAAAATCTTCCACTGAAGTGAATTCAATAAGATACCTGAAAGCATGTGTTGCCTTCAGGAAAAAACTATGCATCAATATCAAACGGTGCAATTTCCACCATTAGAATTTGGCTCACTCTTAAGTCATAAATTTAACATTCTCCTAAGTGTGAAAATATACCCTAAAAAGGAAATACTTTAAAGAGCTTGAGACATTGCCTTTCAGTTTTTATTCAAAATACCCATCTCTTCGCCTAAATTCTGTAAAATTTTCCCTGTATCAAAAGGGTTACAGTATAGTATATAGATTAGTATAGTATAGTATAGTATAGTATAGTATAGTATAGTATAGTATAAAGAACAATGCACATGTAACACTAGAAAGATCAGTGTCTACTTACTAAAATACAGCTTTATTTTTTCAGCTCCAACAGCTAAGGCATCACCTTGACTTCTTGTCTCAACATGCTAAACAACACAGAGAAATCTGACCAACGGCTGCAATATTTTTGCTAAAAGAGTTCTCTCTGAAAGTAACTAAAGAGTTGATTAAGAGCAGCCCTCAAAATAGCACCAAAACTCCTGAAGAGCTCCTTTTTATACCAGATTGTCCCCTTGTCAATAAACAAACACACACAAAAGCAGAAACTTGAAGTTCCTTTAGTAATTGAGTTCTGATGCTTTAGTTAGTCAAAAACCTCTCCATGTTATTTAACTTCACATTCCTAAGTAAGAACAGCTCCTACTTTAACAGTGAAAAATTCACTGTGGAATTAGGACAGGAACTATGATCTAAAGCAACAGTTTACTTTAATATCCAGGGGAAGCAGATGAGGAAATAAGGGAGAAAAGGCAAAAACCACAGATTAACATTAAAGCTACATGATTGAAAGAGGTACTTTTTCTAAAGGTTAGAAGATTATGGCAGAATTCCTAAGCAGAAAGAACGTGAAGATTTCCCAAGTTATTTTTAAAAACACCAATTATATCAACAGGTTCATCACAGTCCACAGAAGATTTTCTGCCTGCACATATTTTGATTTGAGAGTTCAATTGTTTCTCTTGTCATGGCTCACCACTAAATATCAGTGTTCATAAAGAACATGAGCAAGAGAAAAATGCAAGCAATTTTCTCTGAGACTTGGAATTTATTTCCTTTTGAGTCACAAAACTCCCTGTTGGAAAACCACTCTACACCTTTTTTTATTAGATATGTCAAATAAAAAGAACGAAAAGAAATGCTTGAAATTCTGTAGTATACAAACTACATTCTCTCTAAATAGGTGGTTTTTGCTAATTTTTCCATCATAGTTGCACATCTGTTTGAAAAAGATCTATGAACTATTAGTGGCATCTTCATTGAATAGTATGTTGAATAGAAATATCCAAAGCACTGACTGTTTATTTTTGATAATAAGAGAGCTGAGCAGAGTATTTGATTTAGCTTGTCCTGGGATTTAGATCCAGTTTCACTCTTCAGTCCCGAAACCATTTCATATATAAATAAATATTTTCTGAGTAGGTTATTTTCATCTGCACTACAAAAGCTGTTTCCCCCCTGCTTCAAAATTATCACTTCAGATCTCTAAGATAATAATCACCATGGCCACATTGCAGAGCATTATGACCATGGCAGATAATACTTTTAAATGTATATACTATTTTAAATGCATATTATTTCTTAGAATGGATACTAGCAGATTTCTACAATAACTTATATATTAATTTATGCAGTTTGAATCCTGTGATCAAAAATAGGATGGTTATTTTCTGAGACACGTGGAAGTTACATTCATATTGATGGCACACTGACGGAACACCTCACCCTATATCAATTCAGAGGTCTGGTAATGAAGACATAGCTTCGTATCATGAAGACATTGCCTTAATTAAGTGTCAACATCTTTCCCATAACTCTTAGGGAATCCCTAAAAAGTCTTAAAAAAAAAAAAGAAAGCAGAAGGCAAAAAGCAAAGCTATTGTCTTCATTACTTACAATTATTTCTGGTTTAGACACTAGTTTAAGAAAATGCACTGTGCAGTATGATCATCACAACAATGGTTACACAGCTCAACAGTGTTCAAAAACCCCTACATATATGTGAAAAAGCCAGGTTTTGCACATTATGAACTTTCCAGTTTAATTTAGAACTAAATCTTGAATATGTCTCCAAAGACTGTGCTATAAATCATGGATTAAATAGCTGCAGACTTCCCTAGACTGCAAATAAAAGACTGTGGTGAAAAACTGTAAGAAAAAAAGAAAAAGAATAATGGTATGAATTAGAAGAAGAGACAGCAAATAGGGCTATTAAAAAATAGAGATGGGAAGTTAAAGAGCAACAATAAAGGCCAAAAGAGGCTTGATGAGGAATCAGAAGACACAGAGCTAGTTAGCCAGCTACATAGCTCTTAGATCCTTTCCAAAATGCAATCTGCCAAAGAGGCATCCCAAAAATAATACTGTATTTATCATCCCAGAAATACTAAAAATGAAATTTCTTGTTTTATTTTAATTATTTAATCTGAAATATCTAAAAGTTCTAAATTATTAAAACTATTTACTTTTAAACCATAAGATATGTCTTCAATGTTTACTTAGTGTGGTCTCAGCTGATTATTTCATAACAAGCATAGCAGAATGCATCCTTTAACTGCATACTTTTGCCTGGAAGATTTTAAGTAAATATTTGTAACACAATGACCTACATTTGAAGGGGGTTTTTTTCCTACTGTAAATTTATTTACTTTAATTATTGCACACTGGTACTTGCAGCCAAATCTTTGCTAGTACTTTGCTACTCAGTATTCTATCTAGCTTCTTGTTCATCTATTCTCAGAACCATAATTCATCTTTCAAAATAGATATCTGAGTAACGTGAGATGCAATAGGCTCAATGTGAGGGGAAAAACAAACAAACAAACAAGAAAATAAAATCATATCTGATCAATCAATACAAGTACAAAAGGAACTTCAAAATGTAGTTTTATACAGAAAGGTTAAAGCCAAAAAGATAGACTTCATGTTTCAAGATTAATACAACATAAACCTCATCTCAACCAAGTGAAATTAGGGAAAATTCTCGATTAAACTTTACGAGGATCAGGCTCGAGTGTTCTGGGCTCTTTTTTTCCCTACAATTAAAGAACAGCTTACCCGGCTCATCATTACCCACATTAAGTGTACAGCATATACAAAGGGCTCAAGCAAAAGATGCAGCATAAGGATTAAAACTAACCCTTTGCTTACAAATGATGGCACAGGACATGCTACTGGAAATCTGTAACCCACTACTCCAACTAACTAAAGATTTATGCTATAAAGGAATATATACAAATGACTAAGCAGAACACTCAGCATAAGGATTAAGACTTCTTACCCCATATTTACATTGGCGGGATGTTGCTCCATACTGGAAGCGACACTGTTCATCAGCATCATACACCTGACCTGGGGCCACAGCTGGATAAAGAAAGTCACGCTTGGGAGGCTCATTATCAAGGCAAGTACCACGGCCCGAACTGTTCAACATAAAGGACCAAATCAATTAGGAATTCTACTGACTGTAAATCACAGTAATGATATTATGTATCTAGTTATTACTTTTAACAGTGCTGGGTGTGAAACAAATATGATTGCAATAAACAGACAGTAAGCAGGTACACCCATATAAACAAGAGAAAATATTTAGAGGGAATTAGGAAATTAAAATAATTTTTCATCATTATTATTATTTTAAAAAATGCTCATTTTAGATTGTGAAATAATTTTATATATTATCCTTTTTTAAAGTGTGATAATTCTGAGCCACACAAGACTGATTTTCATTTTTAGTTTAGGATTCCTATTTGTTTTCACTGAAGAACAGCTAAATTTAGTCACAAAATGAAAAAAAAACCAAATCAAGCAAGTGCAAAAAAATCAGTTTACACTTTGAAATGACCCTTCTGATCCTTCAAACAGCTAACTATAATCTTATAGATAGAAGCAGCTCAACTGGTTTATGTAAAACTAAAACACATTCAAGTTTCAATATGACAAAATGTTTATAGGATCAGGACCTTAACATGTAAGCCTTTCTTCCTTTCGAGTGAAGAAAATGGTTACAGAGGTAAAAATTCTGCCGGAACTTCAAATTTACCTATACCAGGGTCAGTGAAAAAATTTGTACAGGTCCAAGATTTTTTTTACTGTACCAACAGTTAGACCTAAAAAATTCATGTTGCAACCATAAAAATCATCTTTGCAAACTTCAATATTTTCTTCTTTTTGTACTCACTGTTTTCTTCAGTGGTTGATGTTTTTTTTCCAAAATATACCCATATTCAACCACAATATTTTAGTGTAGTGGAACAAATGATAAAGAAAGCCAAAATCAAACTGAGCTCTCTTTAGAAAACTTTGTACTTTGCTAAATACAATTATTCAATTTTATTGGGTCAGTGTGCATAAAGAGGACAGATGCTTTTTTACTTTCATTTCACATGTGAATAAGTGAGGATTTTCAAAGAATTCTTATGGCAACACTTAAATTTTTTTTCCGACATTCCTACCAATTTTGCCAGCACTTATGTTCTGTTTTTTTCCAAATCTTTTCCATGCACCTTGCCAAAGGAACGTAATTTCAGAAGTGAATGTTCTACACTGTTTTTTGGAGATCTCCAATTTTCTATACTTTTCATCTGCAGATAAAAAAAAAAAAAGTGAAAAGTATCCTTTAACTACACATTTAATGTTCTCATTTTAAACCTTTTTGATCAAGTCTTCAAAATACTAGAAAAGATCCTTTGGAAAAACAAAGAAACCTCTGCCAACCACTTCAGAAGGTGGCAAATAACAACTAATGTAAGAACTAGGTAAATACTGGAAAAAATACAGTATTTGATGGCAAATTCAAAGGATTTCAGTGTTATTCACCTGCATGCATGCATACCCATGCATCCGCTCAGCTTAAATCTATTTTAAAAATATCAACTGTGTGGTTCTGGCAGAAAAAAATGGTGTGCTTTTCCCTTTATCTCATGTAATTGCTGCAAGTATATATGCAGCAGAAGTTGGGAAAACATCCTTCAATCTTTTAAAGTATGTCAGTGTTCTATTTTGTGTATATGAGGAGTGCATGTTAATTCCAGTATTAAAAGAACTGACATACAAGCTAATTTTTCTGCAATGTCTGGACTAAACTGCAGATAGAATCTTTCCTTAAACAAGCAGTGAGAAGTTTAGCATTTGGCACCAGCTTGAGCTAGTATTGCCATAGATGGGAACATTTTCATAGATTCCAGTATTGTTGTTTATTGTAAACAATGATCTTGTAAACAGATGGCCAAGGGCACAGCATTTAAAAAACCTCATTGCCTTCAGTGACTTCTCTCCACAGGCATATGTACCCCTGCCCAAATTAGATTACAGAACCTGTTCTAAACCTTAAAATTTGCTAAATTAAAATCCATACCTACTCTACAAGAGATACAATGGCAGAAAAGCAAGTCATAAATCTTTGTATTGAATACAAAAATATGACTCTTCTGCTCTAATTACCTGATTTGCACCATAATAAAATATTGTTGTAGTAATTACATGAGAAAAGTACTACTGAGAAGTTATTCTCTTACTAGCTACATTATATCACAACCTCTAGACCGAAAATTTATTTCTGACTTCTGCTTCAGTTCTATTGTTTATCTCAAACAGTCGAGCAAAACTGATCCCTGATACTGTATTGCAGGAACTGAAGTATCCTGGAAAAGAAATGGCATGATCTTGATAAACACATTAATAAAACCAGAGACTTTACATTGGTAATGAAAGGTCTGACCAAAGTTCTGCAAAGGATGAATACAGGCTGAGGACCATTTAACCTTTCCAGAAAATTTTTACAGGATTTGGCAATGGTCCAATACTCTTGTGTGTATGTCCCTGTTCTCGCTTTCTTTGTTCCATCAAAGCAAAGCCCACATGCTTGAGAAAAAAATTTATGTTAAATCTAGGGAACTGAACCAAAAGGGTCCAAGAAGATTCATGGTTTTGGAGAACTTTATAAGCAGAGATCTAATTGTTATTATCAGTTAGGCATATAAAAGTGTAGATGTAAAAAAGGACCTTCATATCTACAATTTTAGAAAATTTCTACTCACAATTGCTTTTGTGCTTTGTGATTTTATCTTATATAGAAAGTATATACAGCAAATAAAAAAATCTACAGGATATCCCTGCAGAGCATTTGCATTTTTGAACATGAGGTGGATAAATCTTTAATGTCTGCAACAGAAATAAGATGATCTCAAACTAACCATTACATTCTATTACTCTACAAGGTACTAATAGTATTCACGGTTTTTCTCATTTTCCTAACTTTAGGTTAATTTTGTGAAGTTTTATGGGACATACTGCGACTTGTTGCAATTATGAAATAGCTAAGCTTGATGTCATTTCAGCCCAGTATTCCAGTGTAGTGTCTCCAGAGATCATTTTAAAACACTCTACAATATAATTTAAATTTTTTGTTGTATTTTAGTATCACAGGGCAGCAAATTATTCTTCTATTTGAAAGGATAACAAGGATACTAGAATTTTCTAGGAAAGCTTAGGATTTCAGGCTGCTATCACTGCTAACTGCTCATCTAAATTAATACCAACCAGGGAGTAAATATTTCTAAATCTTTACAGACTGAACAACACAAAACTCAGAATCACCACCTCAGCACAGTTTTCACAGTTGTATTCAAGACCAATAAAGAGAAAAAGCAAAAACCATGGATGTAGATCTCTGAGGGTTTATGTTCCTATTACAGTATCTATTCTTAAAAATCCCTACTTACGTAGTATAACCCAGCTCCTTCAATGGCTGAAGAAAATACCCCAGAACGCTGGCTCTGAAAATTGGTTTTGAATGTCACACAATAGCTTCATTCATAATAATAATGTGGACTATAATGCAAGCTACACTTCATGATCACAAATTAAACATAGTATGAATATTTGTGAATATCTTTAATAGCTAAACAATCATATACATACGTACATTGGTAGTATACATAACGTTTTTTAAATTTTTACACCAAATAAGCCATAAAATATGAAAAAAATAGTAAAAAATATTTTTAAAAACAGAGAGCATTTTTACATATACATACCATTAATTATTTGCATGCCAATATATCTGACTCCTAACAGAATCCTTACTTCATATTTATAAGTAAAAGCTGATTTTTTAAAAGCACTAGTTTATAGTTCGGTACAGGTTACAAAAGCTGCTTTACTCAACATTAATGGGTAAACATTAATGGGTAAACATTGTCAATAGTCTACAGATCTAAGGATAAATATTTGTAGAATCTGGACATAAGTAACAGAACTGAGATTTGGATTTGGTGTGCTTAAAATTAAAATGAAGCCAAATGCAATTACAAAAAAAAAAACTTTATTGAATGTTAGGGAAATTCAGATTTACCACTCACTCATCTGATAAAATCAGCTTATTTCCATTCTTTCATGCCAAGGTTGGCTCTGTCTTAGTATTTATTTCATATAAAAGACTTTGTAATTTTGCACAATCTTTTCATCACACTCAATGTTCCTTTTGCTTGGAGTAGCAATTTGCTGTTTCTTTAATGCATGCTTTCCTATGTTCCAAAGCATTATCTTATTCATTAGAATATCCAGCAGCTGTACAAAGAAGAATCTATTGGTTCATCTATCAAAACCATCCTCCTACCAAAATCTGGTTTTAAGAGTTCAGGAGATATTAACATATATAATACTGGACCAATAATTTATTTCATCAGATACTCTATAAATAAGTTAATGGAAATCTGATGCTTATTCTGCACTTTACAATTTCCTTATATTTAAATGAATCAAAAGGTAGACAAAGAGTAATACTTGCAAAGTCAACACTCAAAGCCATATTGTCATCCCACAATTGCAGAAACTCTTAGGTCTTTTTTTCAACTAAATTGTCTTTTAAGTTAAACATAAGACTTTCAAAGTTTCAGAAATCTATAGCAAAATAGGGCACATGTTTTTTATTTAATTACCTGTTAGCAAAAAAATTTTAAATATTAATATAATTTAAAGAAAAGAAGCAAATTATAATCCAAAGTGTAGCTCAACACATCATATTGAATGCAAATTTTCTCCACTGATTTGTAGAAAGAGATATTAAATTATGATACAATAGATGTGATCTTATCTTCCAAAACTAGTCTTAGTTTATACCTTTTTCAGAAGTTACTTTATATTTCTGGAGTATGAAGGACCTGATCACAGATAACACATGAGGCATATGTAGACGTATCCTATATTTACCTTGCATATTCACCTGCACAATTAAGATTCTTAGGCAGATGATATCTGGACCAGAACACTGAATTTTTTTTTTTTATATAGTGTCTGCATGGGCTTGCTTGGACAAAGATAGTTTTGGCTCCCTTCCAGATTTAGAAAGTTGTAGTCTAAGATCTAAATCTTGCTGTATGGCAATCACAGAGTGTCTCCAAGAATTTCCTGTGACAGATCTTAATGAAATAATTTAAGACTCTTGGTTCTCCTCCATCTTCAAAAGACAATCCTGCCTTTGAAAGACAGAGATGGCCATCTTGCTTCTTTTAACTCCTCTCCTGTTACTGACAAGAAAAATAAACTATGACTCCAGAAATCACACAGCTTTTTTTAAAACAGAAAGTAGATGTTATTTACACACACACATGCTGCATGGCATTAAATTCATACTAATTGTTTTTCAATCATTAAAATTTTAGGCTTGGTTCTTTTCTCCTGTGAACAGATATTACAGGTTTCTACTCATCTCACAGAAATCTCTGTCCCCTGAGACTGCCTTCCAGGCTTTCAATTCTCAGTTAGTATTAGTGGAATTAGATCCATATAGTGTTAGTGAAATTAAAGCCATTGCAAAGCACTTATGAACAATTCAGCTAATAAACTGAATTATGTCAGTCTTTCACTTCACCTAAAAGCTTGATAGACAATAGCTATTTTAAGCTTGGCAGACAATAGCTCTTATGTGCTTCAGGGAATGTTTTCTCCAGAAAAAACATATTTCCTTTGGCCATTGATCCTCTGTGCTCATTGATCATCCTTGCTGAGAGTGCTGGTTGACCTATTAGCATCACACAATTTGCTTTGTTTTATTGTCATATTTTGAGCCATATTCATCCTCTTTCCAGCACTCCTGCAAAATATTTTTCTTTCCCAGCTACTGCCTGACTGAACTGATAACCCTCCAGGTGATACTTCATAGCTACTCCTCAGTGCAAAACTGCTGTAGCAAAGTGGTGACCTGAGCTGGTAAACTAGTAAATCCACATTAGCTTTCCTTACCATAAAATACTGTGAATGTGTAATGAAATTCTATCAAAATCCATTCCAGTTGTATTAATGTTGTACCATGACAGCATGGCCCAAACACGTGCAAAGGTTCAAAGCTATAAATCTAAAAGGTCTCACAGATCTGCTTTCTGCTGGGTATCTGCATCTAATATGTTCAAGTCCTACCTGCCTTGTTACACACAACTAAATTAATCCCAAGCCAGCTTGGCCTCTAAAACTCTAAATCAGCATTTTTCTCACCAGTTGCTAAGTCATCAAGAAATATTAGGGGAAAAAAATAATTTTTCCTGTGAGGATGCAGACTCTTCTACTCTTCTAAAAGCAGTCACAGATACGTTGCCACATGAAACTTGCTATTATTTTTTTGATTCTTGCTAACTGTTTACTACTGCAACTGAAATATACCTGCTCTCAGAGCTGTTCTCTCTTAAGGAAAGGTGTGAATGGGTAAAAAGTGTCATGCAGGTATTAGTTGAACTCTTAACAGCTGCCTTTTGTAATTGAGATGGCATAAAAGCTGGTGAGGAAACTAGAAACTAGAGAAACAAAGTACAGTTTTACAGACTATCTACCTTATGAAATAATAAATCAAATATTTTAAGGAAAAAATGATCTATTAATTTATAGGATATTAGGTCCACAGACAATAAGAAGCATAGATTTATAATGAACAGAGCATGTTTGAGAAATATGACATTCTGAAAACAGATTCCAGGATTAGTAGATGAAAGAAAAGTTATATTTGACTCTTAGTACAGTATTTAACACTGTATTCTATACAACTGGAACATGTACAAAAGTCGTGGTGTGTAACATAGTATGTGTCCAAGGTGGCTTGGAAGAAAAATAACATCTCTATTTCAGGTTACAAAAATACACCTGAAGTATTATGAAAAATAATTTATCATTGAATCTCCTATGCATAGATTGTTGTTTTTTCTCTAGTTCAAATATCACTTAGTATCTTCAGTAATGATTTTTTTGTGAAATTCCTTTTTAACAGAAATTCAAGTAGAGTTGCAAACACTGGCAATGACAGACAAGTATCTCGAAAAATATGAGGAGATTAGAACTATGGAAACAGATTCAACAGAGTACTTCTGGCTTTATAGTAATATAACTACAATTTCACTGCCATCCCACAGACTTCAAAAACTTAACCATAAATCAAACCTATGGAATGGAAAAGAATAATAGAGGTGCTAACAGTAAATAATAAACTAAATCAGTAAAAAACCCAGTGTAAAAAGGCTCAAGATAAAAATGTTTTTAACTGGCAGTAAAAATTCGAATGACCACTGCATGCATCAGGCTAAAATTTGAAACTGTGCAGGAGCATTATGAACAAATGTTCAGCTTTATCATTTTTGCAGAATAACACACACCACAGAATTTTATCATGTTCCTTTCCCTAAATCCATAAATAAGAAATAACTTCATCACTTTATGTTGAATTATTTCCTCATCAACAGACAACTTATTGTCAGGACAATTATGGGATCAAAATTTAGTTTTTCAGAGAAGAGCAACAAATAGAAGGAAATGAGACAGAGAACAACAGAAGTGTAACAAGAAGAACAAGCTCCCAAATACTACAAAGAAATACCTGAACAGTAAGCTTACAGTCAGAACTACAAAGCTGTGAAATAATCCTAGAAGAAATATGAAAACAGTATTCTTTTTCATAGTTAAAACCAGGCTGCAATGACATACTAGAAAGATTACTAATGGGAACAGCATTGAATTAACAAAAGTAAGTAATTGGTAATTATAAAACAAAATAGCTATGTATATTTTTTAAAATAATGCTAGTGTTAAATAAATGCACACACACCCACACATATATATACACACATACATACATATATATATATATATATATATCCTCTTAGCAAATGAAATTATATTGTGAGAAAGTTGTACCACACATATATGGTAAGGATGATTTACTCATTTACTGCTTTAGTTTAGACATTCATCTTAAATATACCAGTATATAAAACTGCGTGGAGGCACAGTTAAGCGGTGTGACACAAAACGGCTTAAACCTATTACAGTAACTCATGAGAAGTTTTCTTCGTCTGAATAACACCAACACTTAAATGTCTGTCTCTGCCCACTGACTCTACAGAATTTCAAGCACCTTGACAGCCCAAGTCAGTGATTCTGATTCTCTACATCATGTGGGAAGCTGATGTTTTGGTCTAAAGGTTTTGGTCTAGATGAGTTCCTTCAGAAAAGATACACAACAGCATCTTATTCTGAAGTTAGATTCTTAAAAGAAAAGAAGATGCTAATTTTGTCCTTAAAAGAATAGTTGGACAATTGACTTGTTTAAGTCCCTCTCTTAAAATACAATAAATGTCTGAATTACTGAACAAGCTGTATTTCTTAGGGCGTGATTGCACAAATGACACTGAACCTGTCAACTAACTGTTATTTGCCTCCAATAAGGACCATCTTCCAGCATCTAAACAAATTGGTTAAGGATATGTTTTCAGTGAACTCATGATTATATGTACTTGACTTCAAAATTTAAAACACATACAAGGCTTCATTATGAATCATCAGTATGTATAAATGTAAAAAATAATACATTTCTGTGAACAACTTATTTTGACTGTTTGAATTTTTTCATAGTGAAATTTCAGGTAGCAAACTACTTCTGGATAAAAATCACCACAGAAGTAGAAGTTTTCAGAATTTTAAGGTATTAACATTAAAGATCCATGCCATCCACTTCTATAATCTTTATGTTCTTGCCAATGGTACCAAAAAACACCAAAAACCTACAAGACTGTCTGAAAAATATCTGAAGAATGAAATGTAAAAGGAACAGGGCTATAACCATCTTCACTTCATTAAATTCCCTCACATTATGTATGCTAACAAAACATGACCCATAGACAAATCCTAGCCTCTTTTATTTCCCACTTTCAGGTTAATGAAATAATGAGGTATGATCAGAACTTCAGAATTTTTTGAGTAGATTAAAAAGAATAAAGAACTGTTAAGGTGGTGAATGGAGCAAAAGAAGCTTTTGACATTTACATTGAAATAATACTCTACAGAAAAATAGAGTTTTAAATGATGCACTATATTTCTGTCTATTCATTATAAAAATGTAAACCATCAGAACAGGTCACTATATACCTACAACTGATCCCAAAAGGTGTCAGTTTTTGAAAATGCATTTTTCTTGAGAGATTACTTACTCTAAAAAACTGGTGATGTAATCCCGACTGCAAGCTGACCAGGAGAAAGGATTGGTGTTTGCTGTAATATGAGCTGCCATTAGCTTTGCTGCTTCATGACCTTTGGTCCCACAAGAATTTCCAATTCCATCATGATTCATACCAAAACTGCTCAAAAGAGTAGGAGAGAAACAGCCCATTACTTTTCTAAGGCATCATATATCACTTAAAACATAATATCACCTTTACAGCAATCATGTTGGACCAAAAAGAACACAGTGCAGAACTCCTAAGTAGAGAGTCAGTTAAGTTCTGATTAATTTATTCAGATCTCATAATACAGCACAATAACATAACTGTCTTCCCTTCTATGGAATTTTGGAATAATTGTATTTGTTTTCTAAAGCTTTTAAAAAAAACATAACAGTATTCTTGCAAGACAAATATAGACCACTCAAGCCTTTATTTGGTATGGTATGTGGATATGGAATATTTATTATAGCTTATTAATATTTATTTATTATTTGTTATTTATCTATTATTTATTATAGACTCTTGGATTAGTAAAAAAGGACTAAGATTAGGTACTGTTGCTGTAACAATACACTATATATAGGCATGGTGCAACCAATGATAATTCAAGTAGAACATAGGTTTTGCAATTCCTAGGACCATCCTGTACGCACACTCTCTCTGCATCTACCCACAGAGAGACCTGGAGCCCTCCTGCTAGAGCTTTGCTTTGTCAAAGAATGTCAAAATAAAGACAATTAAAAATCAGCAGAAAACAAGAAACTTCTGGATGGAACTTGGCCAAAAGAGATTTTGGAAAAGGAAAGAAATTAACTTTCAAGAAAGATGATATGACCTTAGTAAAAAAAATCCTAAAGAATTCTTATTCTTATTGTTATAAAATAATCCTTATTCTTATTATTATAAAACTCCATGTTCTTAGTCCTTGATCAATTTTCATTCAATCACTTGGGGAGAAAAGTTTGTTCCTTCATTTCTTATTTTTTTAAATATTAAGCTTTGGTCAAATTTACTCCTTCTCGAAAGGCTTACGAAATCAGAGGGGCAGATAGTGAGAGACACAGGAACCTCCCTGCTAATGAAACAGAAGTAATTAAAACAATGCCAGAACTAAGATTCTGAACTCCCAGAATCATACAGAGAAGTCTGTCTTTGGAGTGAGTCTTCTGTATGCTAAAAGGACTGACTCTCTGATTTCTTCCTCATCGTTCAGGAAAACAAATGTATTGAGGCACTCAGTTTTGATTTTCTGTAATATTTAGGACTGGCGCTAGAACATGCAAAAAGTAGTAGAAAAGAAACTGACCTTTTATCAGCTGACCACTTAATACCACTTAATATCAGTTCATGCCACTTTTTTCACTGAAATCAGTGCAGTTGTTTTATATTAATCTGAACATATTGCTCCAAAATGTGGTATAGTACCACAAGATTTTAATGTTACCCTGAATTTCAATACACTATTTCACCTCTTCAGATGATCATAAGAACCTACAAGTGAAAGGTGCTGGCAACCTTTCCTTCCAGAAAAAAAAGAACATCAGTGAACGATGGATGATTCCTACAGGATCAGGAAGGATTTCATCATCAAAAATGCATGGCTGCCCTGCCTATGGAATACATATGTCCCTATGGTATACATATTCTACAGCAATGCCTACATGTGTCTGGTTCAGTTTGTGGTACCTCACAAATGCAGAAGCCATATACTGTATTATATACTGGAAAGGTCTAACTGACACCTTGGACTATTATATAAGCAAATAAAGGATGTCCTTTGTTTATAAAAAATACAGCTTTAATCAACTCATCTGAGTAATGTATGTAATACATTGAAACTTTCAGAGCAGTGTTGATTCCTATGCTCTTATCAATACCTATTCATATTAGGAGAGGAAAGAACTTAGATGTCCTGTGCAACAAACTGAACTAGAATTTTACGATTAAAAACGTGCTTTATTTACCTGTTCTCTGCGGCAATTATTTCCTAGAATTTGGGGTACTTCAGAAACATTCCTTTTTCTGAAAACAGAAAACTTTATTTTTTAATAATCTCCATAAATTATTCCTTTATAGAAATGAGTTGGATGATTCTTGTATTCAGTTTATCTTTAGTTAGTGTATTCCATTTGTTTAAAAACTTAAAGACTTCAGTTCTCTGGAAATGAAATTTTTATCTTCTGGATGCATAAGTGAAAAAACAAATTTCATGGTTTCAATAACCTTCCTTCTATCTGCTCTCCTGTGAAAAAGACAATATTGGTAACAGTGGCAGTGATATGCCTGATAAAAAGCGTGTCTGTGAATGGAAGTCATAATTTCTGACACAAATGGGAACTCAATCAATGCTTTTCCACGATCTAATGGTATGCTTTATAAAATATTCCTTCTCCTAAATCATCTATCCCTTTCCTAGAAAGCTTTTCTACTTGTCCTTGCTTTTGAATTTAAGAGGAATGTGATCATGAGGTGCAGGTAACTTTTTCTGATGTTTGCAGAAGGGTTTTACAACTAATGTCTTAATTTCCAAAGATGGTAATGGCAGCATGCCAGTACAGTCCAGTAACTTGCCCTCCTGTGGGCAGGATTGCAGATGGAAACACATTTCTGACCAAATTGCCGTTTTTATTTCCAACAGAACAAGCTGGTCATATTTGGCCATCATTACATTGAAACTAGGTCTTTACAAAAGCATGCTTGCAATTGGATTGGCACAGAAATGTAGGGAAGAAAGTAAAGAACATAAAATATTCTTTGTGGAGCCACTGTTATAATTTGCCTACCTTTTTCAATTTCACTAAACGTACACAGACTTCTTCCTTTCATTGGCTTAAAAAGTCTGTCTAAAACTACCAGTATAACTTTGTCTTTAGAGGAACAGTCAGATGGATGAGCAGAGACTGAAATCTCAACTGACACAGGAGTTATTTTGTGAAGTTATCTTTCCACCTGCCATCTCAAGGAAGGATGTTTAAAGCAGCAACTCTTGCATTTTCATGCATTATGGCTCCTCATTTCCCAAGAGAGCACTTACTTTACATTAAAGGATTGTGCAAAGTAGGAACACTTAAGAAGTTTAAAATTATAACTGAAACTCTCCTGCAAATTATCTCTAGTCTGTATGTTTCTTAAAAAAAATCTAAAGCAGAACATCCTAGTCGCGCTCACTGCCTTGTTTCACTTACTAACATCTGTAACTGGATAGTTTTTTTCCCTTTGGAAATCTGCTTTTCATTATATCTGAAAAAATTATCTGAGGGAATTATTTGCAATACTCATCCAACTTGCAATCCAACCCCAAAAATCACAAGGGAGATAACTAGTGTCATCTGTATTGAATAAAAGGGCAATAGATAAGCAGAGACCCTGGAGTATAAGCAGAGGGAAGGATGTGAATATAAACTTCTTGTCTACCCTTCCTTTATCTTGCAAAAAAAACAGCATGGCAGGTAGGTCCCTACAGTTTCATTGGCTTACTAATATTTTTGGTAGTTCTAAACAATGATGGTTATGACTGCCAAAACACTTATTGCTGATTCATATGAAATTACAGCAGTCATTTTTGTGAGACAGTCAGAATGCTTCTGTCCTTATGTATTACCCAGACACTTTGGATTCAGAGAAGACAGATCCACACCAATCTGAATGCATCCCCATACTCTTCACTGACATTTATTTTATATACCATGTACTTTATTAGCCCTGAAGTTTTCTTAGAAGTAGTACTCAGGTGAAATGCTGTTTTTCAATCAATTATCTCTTCTATCTAGCTGAAGTACTTATTATCTTCATATCAAATGAGATCTTCATTATCTTCAAAAGGTATCTTTGTATATTCCTAGCTTTTTAGGGTTTAGGGGATTCAGAAAAGCACAGACTGTTTCATTTCTCTAAATACAATAGAGACTGTTCGGCTTCTTACCAATTAATGAGATATATGAATTTGACCCATTTTTTTTAAAGCAATGTCTTTTATGTTGCTCTGCCACTTAACAGCATTAGGAAGAAGAGTACCAAAGACAGAATTGTGAGTCAGGTGAGGAAAAAAAGTTACAGGAACACAAAAGAAATACTGTGAAGTCAAGCACTGCATCTTCTTGTCCATTATCTGAAGCTGATTTACAGCTCCTCACAATAAAGAATTGCCACCCTATCTTCCTAAGAGAAAGAAAAGCCACCTTAAGAGGTTTAATGACACTAATTATTTGTTCTAGGAGATGCAAAGTGTGAAATGGGCTATTTTCAAGTGAGTATCTTGACCCTAGGTACATTGCAAGTATTTCCTCCAATGTCTCACACTGACCTAACATTTATGGAGATTGATGTAAAGGGTAGGGAGGCATCATAAAGTGTATCAGTGAAGAATGCTTTAAAAGTTTCTAATAGTAAATCTCTGCCACAGTATGGGCATGCTGGTACAAGTATTCTTGTATTTGACGGAAGACCTAAATAGTGAATCATAATTTGCTTGGAGAAATTGAGTTTATTATATTAGAGACAAAAAAATTCATAAAACTTGTATTAATTTTCCACTGTATTGTACTTATTCTCATAATGGTTTAAAAAGTGTAATTTAAATCTGTGTATGTATTTCATATAGCTTAGAATGTCTATTTAAGGCCTACACTGAAAAATTAGAATGTTAGCTTCCCTACATCTGTAAATATAGGCATGGCTTCAAATACACTTTTCTTAATGTAAGTAGAAAATACACAAGGGAAGAAAGGGAAAACGACCATGTTTCAACATTATTTTGTTCAGCAAAAAGCGGGTGAATCTGAACATAAGCTACTATTAAAGAATAGCAGAAATGTTTTTCCCTACAATATCAGAGATATGAGCCGCTTGGACAAAGTACAATTTCTATGTGGACATACATGGTAATTTTATTAATTATTCTTGTGTCTTCTAGGACTGAATTATTTGTCAGTTGTTATGAGGTTATGGTAAATGTTGGACACATTACAATCATCAGATTTTATGTTTCCTTAATAACAAAAATAAGCACTTTTTCTTTACTTTTGTAATTATTTCCCCCATACTGTCTCTTAAAAGAGAATTCTCCTCTTCCTACGTAGCCCTCCATATAATTTTAGCCAATGTTATAAAAGTATTGGTTGTATATACATAACAGC